GAATGATTCGATCGAACAGGAATGGAAACCATGCTTGGATAGACGTTCATTCTATTGAAACTTTCGGCAACGATTGACTTGCTTTCGTCGGAAAAATTGGCCAGAGAGAAAAGGGAGAAGTTCAATCGTACTGTTTCCTTATCAGTGAATGACGAGATGGTTTCATATTGTGGACCAGAGTGAAACTTTTGTGGCGTTGTATCCGATCCATTTGCTATCTCTTCGGAATAGTTGTTATCGAAAACAGCTTCGGGAATGCTCAATGCTGACTCTTCATCGATAATTAAAGTCGATATGGATGAATTATCATTCGACATTTCGATTAATGACGAACTATTGTCCGAAACCTAAATAAACAAAGCAATGATCGTTTGTACACGTTTGGAATTACCTGTTGCATCGACGCGAATATCGATGAAAGAAATGATAGAGTTACGAATAGTTTTCGGGTAATCATGGTGGCTTTTTCAAAGACTTGCAGTTATGGACTGAATTGATGGAATGAAGAAAGAAGAATGCTGAGAGAAAACGAGAGCAAGTACTCGCGTAGATAAAAGAGAGAAAGAAATAGTTGATGTGAGAAGGCATTCATTTCAACATCGCATAGTTTGAGAATACAAATGACGAGAAAAAGTGCGGAACTTTCATCGTATCGGCATTGGACGAGTTGAGTATGGTGAGTTTCAAAAATTGGACGAACCATCAATCAATCAATGCATCGGGGAGAGATACGCGCCTGTTCTGAACGTATTGTGCTTAAGGTGAATCGGTGGTAAAAGAACGTTGACATTGGCGCGAGGCCGTACAGAACAGATTTGTGGAGCAAAGACGTACTTGAAAACTTGTAGCATCAATTCCTTTTAAATGTCGAAACTGTTTTGTAGTCTTTCAATTAGTCAATCACCATTGATTATGAAGTTCATCGCTATGTTCTTGTGACGAGAACACAATTGTATCATCACCATCAAAAACAGCTTATTGGCTAACTATTCCAGTGATAGTAAAATATTACGACGTATGCATAGAGCAAACTATGGAAGTAAATCTCATGGACTGTAACTTTGGAAATGGATTTTCTTCCTTTGTCTGCAAGTTTAATGAGACTGACGTTTTACTAAAACGAGACAAAGATTCGTTCGATGGTGAACTAACGATAAAATTTCTTCAGTTGATTAATTTCTTTAGATTCTATCTTTCGGTAGTTAGATGTATCTTAATCACGTATGAGACGTTGACCGAGATAAAGCGTCCTTTGGTGTTTTATCTTGAATTGTACACATATTTTACCGAAGTTCTTCGTTGGAGATTGCCAAGGAAAAAGGAAAACTGTTTGAAAACAAATTTATATTCTCCAATACAGCTCTTTACATTCATACCGAAAACGAGATAAAAATAAAAACGCATGAATACAGAAGACGTCGTAGAATTATAGAAAACAAAACAGTTAAACTAATGGAACCGCATTGTTTACATATTTTCTGCTCACACCGTTTTCTCTATCTCTATATAGAATATGCATTCGCCTACATATAGTATCAAGGTTGGTATTTTTATCGAAATTCGATTTCAACAGAGACACTAGCTTTTATACGATCTGTGTGTACGCTATACGCGTTCAAAACTTGTTTCGTTATATCCACCCACTGTATCGTCTAATAAGCATAAAGCTTTTTTATATTGTTCTTTCTCTTTTTAGATGAATCGGAACAATTTTCCGGTGCCAATTTCGCCAGAAACGGAGGTATGTTACAAAAATCACGAGTAAATTTTGAATAGATATCGATAATTTCCTCTTTTTATTAACAGCCGACGTTCGTCCAAGACCTACAAACGGTAAGAATGCTTTCCCGAAAAATTCATTTCGAATATAGGTTTGAAGCAGAAGTTTAGAGAACATTTTCATTTGAACTTGTATTCTGTACATCTGAGACGCCATATAAGACGATTTGCATCTCTACTCGCATTTCGGACAGGGCCAAGTGCTTTTCAGCTTTCTTTCATTAGCTCCTTTCCTTCTATCTGGGTGCCATATCGTTTCTATTGTAACGAACACGATATATCCATATAAAGAAGAGAAACACGTATAAGAAATGCCAGATTCGCCTTTTCCTCACGGTTTCAATATAACAAACGCTATCAGCTATGTGTAGAGATCAGCAAAATTCAAGGATTGAGTATATTTATGTAAGTATTTTGAAAGGCGCCATTTGCAATAGAAGAACCTAGTAAATGCAAATATATCTTCCACTTCCAAATTGTTGTGAGATCCTAACTGGAAGTCCGTCTTTATATTCGCATGGTATCATTTACTCATAGTTACTAGAGAAGATTTCTTTCCGTTTTGATGCAAATTTATTCACCGAAGAACATTTGAACTAGATAACGAAATTATTTCTCTTTAACCGTTAGCCAACTATGTGTATGTCGTATCGAAGTTAGGTTTTTGTTGAAGCTGTAACTACAATACAACATATACACATCTTTTTTATTTTGCCTTGAATTTGATGATTCATCAGTACCCCTTATCGAACACATGCTAGGGCTTCTATTACTATTATTATATTATTATAATGTTTGTTGCAGAGAACAACTTTGCAAGGTGACAATCAACAATTGGTAAATCTACTTGGTCGACAAGTAGAATTTTTCGAAAAATTACTGGAATTCATCGAAGCACTCAAGAACAAAGAAGAAGAAGAAAAACGCTATCGCGATGCAAAAGCATAAGTTAGACGAAGAACGACATTTGGAAATCAAGAGCTCTTTTGCCGAAATAACGCAACTGTTAAAATCGAAAAATTGATGAAACGATATTTTTTCGACGCTTTTTTGTTGTAAAACTTGTTAACATTCCTATGGCATCGAAATGAAACGATAAAGAAGATACTCAAAAACTTAGAATGATCATCATACTAAAAGTAAACTTGCATCATATTTATTTGATGTATTTTCTTTTTCACATATATTTGCACTCAAACAAAACTTTACACGATTATTGTGAATCAGCCGTTTTTGTCAGTTGTATAGGTGTTGGTGGACTTAGAGAATCTTCCATCGTTGTCATCGCTAACGTTTTATTTCGTCGTGATTCGTGAATAAGTAACATTTGTTTTATATCATTGAGACTTGAAGATTTAGTTAATCTTTGATTGGACAATTGACGTGAGAAATGCGACGAAGCTCCAGTTGAATGCAGTGATGATTTATTCAATCGTTGTTCTTCATCTGGATCAGTATGGACGGTTGAACGAATGAACCAAGGCGGAATTGCTTTCGGCTCATATGGTGCTTTTTTACTTGCTAGTTTCATTTTGATTGGTAATGGTTGAGCAGCAACTTCGGCTGTTGATTGTACTAGCTTATTTGATTTCTTGCCTGGCTTACCGGGACCACGCGACGATCCGATGACAGAATCTGTATTGCTTGTTTCATCGATATCCATCGGTGAGTAATGATCATCATCGTCTTTTTCTATAACAATTTGAATATCATGACTGATTGTTGTTGTACGATCGAACACATTGGATGCATGGGAACGATGTGTATTTGTCGAGTCTTTATTCGATTGATGATTTGTTGCTGCTGCTGCTGAATCTCCATTCTGTTGGAAAAAATCTTGATCGGACGTATTTTTCAATTGTTGTTCTTGTTTCATGATTTCATCGATTTTTTCCAAAATATCATAAATGGGTTTCATTTGTTTGTAAAATAAACTTCGATTAATGGTTTGCCGATTAGTAGCTGTCGTTTCCTTTGTTTCAGCTTCTTCATGCACAACTCCACTACACATTAAACAGACGAGTAAATCTTGCATTGGATCGTATAACTTGCCAAAGTCTAATTCTGTATAGTCTTTCGAACATTGTTCACATTTATAATTCGAGGATTTGTATATTTGTTGTCGTTCAAGATTTTCGACATGCATTTGCATGTGAATTAATCGATATCGAACAACGTTAATGAATGCTGTCGTGTCAATCTTATAATAATATTGATCTTGATTACGTCGGCCAGTCGTGCCGTCATTCAACTCAAGACGATGGTCTTCTATGATGAATTTATCACGTTTGAATTCTTGAATATACGATCGAACTGCTTTCGGCTCTAAACATAGGCGTTCAGCTAGATCTTGTTGTTTGATTCGTTCATGATGATAAATATATTCAATCACAAGAGATTTGGGCACTTCATAGAATGTCCGCATAATACAGCGAATTAGAGTTTTCAAGATCGCTCGAGGATCATTGGCATCATAAGGCGGAAGTGAGATTTCATTTGCTGAATCTGAACCCATTCACTCGAGATACAGACAGACGTGAAAGCGAATGTGTATTTCCTTACCACTGGCTCGTATATATATACTTTTGTCATTGATAGAGTGCGCTACCATCAACGAATTTCTCGATGTTGCTGGTGGCGAAGGAAAAATATATTCGTCATTGCATTTTATTACGAATTTTGGAAAAAAACCTTTGGAATTTATCTATGCATAATATTTTTTACAATCAATCAGCGGACACATTTTCTACGCATATCGCTACAATCGATGTCTTCCTTGATAAAACAGAAGACGATGGATGGGTGAAGATGATTTGTCTTTTGCATTATCATCGTCTCTTTCAATACAATGTCATTCTTTTGCATGTCCACGCCTTTAAACCAAATCTAAATTGTTTTGTTTTTTTCTTCAGAATTATCCAAGAAAACCAAATCATTATCAATTGACGTGTGTGCAGTGTGTGAACGTCGAATTTCATTTGAACGAACTCTTGTTTCTGTGTATTTTTGTGGTGACTAGTCCGGATTTCGTTTTCTTGCTTTTAAATTATTCCTAATGGCATCAACACGAGGTGCATCGCGACCAACATCAACTAGCAAAACATCGGCTTTTAATCCTCATCATACGAATGGTTCGGCAACTTCTTACGATATAAATGACTCAGCAGCAAACATGACTTATCCGTCAGGCAATAGTTCTGAGTACGAATTGTTCGTGAAGGTACTTTTTCTTCATCTTTTTCTGCTTTCTTTAGATTTGATCCAAATCTACAACGATCGTCTCTGATGAAAAATGTCTCGCAAGTATGATTTATGAATCTATTCTACTCGTAATCATCGTGCGCTGTTATTTAGTATGACGGTATCTATCGAAATGCTCGATTTATTCATGCAATAAGTAGTGGATTGCTCGTAAGTCACACCAAAGATCATCGCTTTGAAGTTGGATCGACATTTTTCATTTCAGGGTCAACAAGTTGTCATTCAAACCAGTGATCATGAGCGTTTTCATGGTGTACTCGAAACACTTTCGCCTAATGCTGATATTATCTTAACTGTTTCACATCGATTAGATAATAATAATAATGATATAATCACTTCGTCAACATTACCAATCGATCTGATCGATACTATTGATACCTCCGCACAAACATTTGAATTACATAAACGGATTATTAAAGCATCAAATATTGTCGAAATCATTGCTGTTGATGTTGACCTGTCTGGTAATGCTAAATGTATGTCGAAATATTTGCGCATTTGACTGTAAACTGTAACAGCGTTCTCTTTGTCCAGGTTCTTTGGATGAAAATCCAAAAGTCAGTCATCATGAACAAGATCGCTTCAGTCGAATGGAACATTTCTATGGTTCGGACGAAATTGATCCGGATACATTAGAAGATCTGGGTGATGATGGAAAAGTACTACTAATCGATAGTTGATTAATGATTGTTATGCAGTGTTATTGGATTCGTTTTAGACTGGCTTTGATCCTGAGGATATGTTTCATACAAACCGTGAAAAATTCAATGCAAAAACAGATTTCGACGAAAGCAAATATACGTAAGTGTAATTGACTCTCTTTCGGTGTATGTGTGTCTTCTGTTATGTAGAAATGTTCCTGTGCGTCAATTGTCTGCCGCTGATCTCTTAGAAATTGAAAAGAAAGTTCAAGAAATAGAAAGAGGCACTCGAACAGAAGATGTTGATGAAGATGATGCAGGTAAAACGAAAAGAATACTCACGTTCTGTTCGAAAGGAGAATTCAATTCCATACTTTTTAGGCGTCAAACGTCCATCGGAATCTCATAATCTCGACGAAGGAAATAGTAACCCGAAATCGAATCGTACCAACCGAAACGATTTCATTTATGACACTGAATACAATTCTTCCAAGTAATTCCTTTGTTATTCAAAGCCATTGTGTGGAACGCCTTTTTTTCTGATAGACGCGATAATTGGCGTGAACAACGCTCAACTGGTGGTCAGAATAATAATCGTCGCGGTGGTGGAAACAATCCCAAACAAACCCAATATTCATCGAATAATAGTCGCCAACAGTATAACACGCGTATTGCACGTAACAATCGGTTTCCTGATAATCGGTCACCACATGAGGGACGTGATTCACCAATGCACCATCCAAACGATGAGTCCAATCGGAATCAACGACTGAATAGTGGCAACTTTCCACAAGACCAAACATCTGGCCCATCAAGTCCATCGACAGCAATTCCAGCGCGAACAATCTATCCGAGTGCACACCGATCGACAGGAAATCGAAATTCACCAGCACCGTATACTGGTAGTTCATCATCGCGTACGAATTCGATTTCAACGGTCTCACCACCAGCAAATCAACAAACAGGAAACAATAAACTACCTAAGAAATCATCGCTCAGTAAGATGACAAACTTTTGTGTTCAGTCAAAGTAAGATTCGAACCTTTTCAGATGATCAACAATCAATTAATGATGAATCCGATCAACCAAAACAACAACGTCCATCAAACAATCAATCGAATGTCTCAACACTCAATCGTCCATCACAATTGCAATCCAGACAACAACCACCTTCGACGAATGTTAATCCTTCGGCATCGTCAAATCTTCCAAATCAAGACGATAATTCATCTAGTCATGACACAATCAATACAAATCAATCACAAACAACTGGAACGACGTATATTGATTAGTTTACTCTCGAGAGTACCATTGAATTGTGCTTTGCTTTAGAACACCGAATTCGATGAAACTGAATGCTGGCTTAAACCCTGAAGCCGACGAATTCGTCCCAATATTGCCGGTAAACTTAGTTTTTTTTTCTACAGAATCAAAATTTTCAATCTAACGAATGGCTTCTCTTTTCTAGCGAGAAGCAAGCTCTCGACCTGAATCACGCGATGCTTCTACCACTGGCCCAATACCAATGAATGCTTTTATTCAGCATCCTCATCCTCAAGCATTGCATCTGATACAACAGCAACAACATCAATCCCAACAACAAATTCCGTCACAACCGACGCCGCCCATTATCGCTGCTACACATCCACAAAATGCTGCAGCTTTATATCAACAATATTATCAAACACAATTCGCGGGCATGCCACAATTCATTAGTGCTGCACCACAACAAATGACAGTCGGGGTGATGGGCGCTCCAATGGTTCCATCCCAGCCACTAATTGGAACTGGACCGAACACAAATAGTTCGAATAATGGAAGTTCGAGCGGAATGACTACACCCAACAGTTCGGTTAGTGGTGGCCCAACATATAAAGTCAATAATACGAATCAAACACCCAGTGCAGATAATAGTAACAATGGAGGAAATAATGCTGTTCCGAAGAAAGCCGTTGTATCCGTTCAACGTTCAGAACAGCCAAATGTTTCTCAACAACAACCACACATGCCCGGTGCTCCACAAATGATTCTTCCTGCCGCACCTATTCGTTATTATTCACCCGAGTACCTTGCACAACGTAAGTTACTGCTCTTTAAAATGTCCTTCCCAATTATGCATTTTACTTTCGTTATTTATTAGAAGCTTCGTCTCAATCTATGCAATTTCAACATATTCCGCTCTATTACCAAATGAATTCTGCAGGTCTTATTCAAGCAACGACAGCTGCCGGTCAGTCTCAAAATATCATGATTGCTCCCGCTAGTTCACAAGCAGGACCAACACCAGCAGGCTTATCACAACTCCACTATGCGAGTGTTTATGGTGATGAATTGAAATCGTGCCTATATCCTCGATTACTCATTTACATTCTTTTTTTTACAGATCCTCGATTGTACAGCATATATCCATCAGCGGCAATTAATCCAGCAAGTATTAATCCTAATTGGCAGTTACCTCGATCGCCTCCTCAACAGCAACAACAATCAGCAGAGCAACAGTCTCAGCAACAACAACAACAACAACAGCAGCAGCAACAACAACAACAACAACAACAACAACAACAGCAACAACAACGTGGGTACGGTAATGGACAAAATGTCACGACTCAACAAGGTTCATCAACCGGCGGATCGAACATGGGCGGTCGATCAGCATCTGTATCTGGTCCTTCAGTGGCACCGCAATACACAATAAATGGACCAATGTCAGCAGCGTATGCTTATGGTGTTCCTGCCAGTTGGATTTCTGGCCCTCAACAAATTGCACAGTCTCAAGGAAATCTACCTCCCCAGATGAATCCGGCATTTAATGTTGTCTTCGATCCGTCTCAGCAAGGAGCAGCTCAAGCACCAACCTATGCACATTCAAATTCCTACGAAGCATCTGCTTACTATCCGCAAACAACACAACAACAGCAAACATCTTCTCAACAAAACTTAGATCAAGTACCACAAGGCAGTTATAACCGTTAAAAGATATTTCTTTCTTCTTGTTCTTCTACGCTTCTTGATTTATATATGTACGAGCGCATCTTTATTCTCTCTTTCTCCGTCTAATGATACATTTATCTATTTAAACATCAAGTTTTCTTCTGTGGTTCTACTTGACTTTTTCTCTAACCGTTTCTTTTATCAACTTCTTCCAAGGTTCTATATTTTCTTTTGGCATGTCCGTATTTCATTCAAGTTATCGTTTCTTCTCTCTTCTTTCATTGACTTTGACAAAAATGGCCAACAAGCAAAGTTAAATTTCTCTTGACAAAAAAGTAGCAAACTTTAATAAATTATTGCTCCTTTTCAACAAATTTTTACAAGATAAATAAAAAAGCTGGCAAAAGATGTTTCAAATCAGACACCATCATCAAGATTTTGCGTGGTGTTGCTGATATAATGATGATTTTTCAATTTCACCTTTTCGTAATGCTTGCCGTGCATCATTGGCTGTTATCGCGCAAATGGCTGCACCAATTCCCGAACCTTCAAATAGATTGCATCGAAAAATCTACACCTTACTAAACAAAAACTATTTTTATACCATCAGCACTGATTCGCAGCTCATAATTGAGTAGAACGGGCACCAGAATTTTCAAATGACGCTGTATCACCATATTAAAACGTGGATGAAAACGATAAAGACTCCCGTCGATGCCAATACAGATCTTTGCCATATCTTCTTTTCTATTCTCATGTACACGTTTCATTAATACAGCAATCGCAGCGGCAGTCAGCATCGCGGCTCGTCTAAAGGAGATTTTCCAAAGATGAATCTTTCATCCAGCAATCAATTCTTCTGACTCGCCTCGAAATCAATCGACATGTATAAGAAATAATCGCACAATCAGCATTCGTCGCGTAACCTAGACCGAGTTTTTTCAATACATTTCGTGTGTTAGAAAAAGTCCTTCCGGTATCAAGTTCGATTTCGGATATGTGGCTTGTTTGTAGCATGTACAGTGCATGGAATGGTGCATAGTAACGATACGATTGCTGATGGTCTCGTTGAGTTTTTAAAATTAATCCACGATTGATCAGCGTAGCTAATACCTCGGCGGCTAAACGACCCATGTACATTCCTGAGATGAGCTTCTCGAAGATATGAATGCCAGGATTATTCGATATACGATCGATTTCACGATCGAAATCAGTTAATAACTTATCGAGACAACCATTTTCACCTGATATAACGAAAGGATATTTTTTTTCGAGACAAAAAATGGATCTAACTATACCAAGAGCGCCCCATTCAGTATTGATAATCATCTCCCTTGCTTGTTCTGGCAAAGCAGATCGATCAGAAATCGTTTGAATTTTATCGATATCTTCAAAATAACACGCATTCGTTCCTGTACCTAAAGTTTAGTATAAAGATATAACTATTCAGGAAATTCTAATACCAACGAACCAAGGATAACTCCAATTCGACAAGTATTCTCCCGATAAGCTAGAAGACACATGATTCAACTCAAAAAATGTTTCTTCACATTCGCTCAACTCATACCGCACGCCATCAACGTTCCGACTGTATCATTGATCAATGCTGTGACTTTGACTTTCAATTGTTTCTCATAGATAACTCTTTGTAGTTTTTCCACAACATCCTGTCCAACTAAGTCCGACAAAATCCAGCCTTTCGATGGTGTTAGAAATTTGCCTTTGTTCAAAGCGATTTGTTCGCAAGCGAAACTAAATGTAAATCCTAGAACGTATTCTTGCGATAAATTCAATTGATTTTGTTTCATAAACTCTTTCAAAACGTCGACAATGAATTCGAATAAATCCTGAGCAAGAATCTTCTTTGAATCAGGAACAATACGTGCTTCGGATATGACTTGCGGCTCACGATTTGGATCAAGTCGGACCAGCAATGTCCGGAAATTTGTTCCGCCAAGATCGAGAGCTAGAATTTCACCATGTTCTTTCTTCGTCGGCAGATTTGTTACATAAGTCGATAACATTTTCAAATCACTCTGATGTTTTCGACTTGGATCTAAACCCATCTGACAATGTTGCTCCATTATCGTCATGATCTGCGCCAGTATTTCAGCTGTGATATGAAATGGTTTGGTAATGCGCATCAGTTCGGCATAATCTTCGGAGGAAATGGTTCCTTCTTTTGTGTGAAGAATCGATGTGATGTTTTCTTCGATCGGATCGTGAAGGAAACCATCGAAGCTGGAGTCACGTGTGACAACTTCTTTCCCAGCTTGAGAAACAAATCGTGTATTCTTCGAATTGACATCAAATGGTCGGAAACAAAAGACAATATCCCAGCAATTTCGAAACCAACTACTGATTCCATAGTTCTCCTTAGACATAAATGAAAGAAAATCTCATGAATTCGATTACGCGCATTTATTTAAAGAAAAACATATTAAACGAGAGTTATTCAATGTATAAAAGATGAAGTTCTTCTACTTGAGCGATACATCTGCATCAGATTGACGAATAACGGCACGATTTGATTATCAGTCGATTGAGTTTTCAAATATTTGACAATCTAAACAAAAAAAAAAACAATGTTCATTTGTCATTGAATATCACATTTTCTAACAAACCTCGTCCGCATGTGAATATGTATAATCGAAAAGTTGATGAAATATCGCACTATCCAATTGGAACTTCTCATCAATTCCCTATAAGAAGTTACAGTCGATGGCTCTTTTATCATTTAAGCTTCTTCTAAACTTACCGTAGTTGTCGACGAATATTCCGATGATGAGTTTCCTTTGTGTAAAGTTCGTTCTAAATTTGTATAACACAATCGAATGCGCTGAATTTCATCAGCGAATAGAAATGTTGTATTTTGTTGATTAAAACTCGAGGTTTGATCCGCATATAAATCATTGCATAACAAACATTGAGAATCTTGTTGCAGACAACAAGCACGTTGGAAAATCATGGCCAGAATGTCCAATGAACTCTTCAAACATTTATCCATAGGTATGTCATATAAACAATGGAAATTTTCGAAGAGAAATGGAAGGAAATGCGCATAGAATATGTGAAAATATTGTGAATTTTGTTCCATTAATTCACTTAGATAAGTGTCACTATGTAATAGATTTGTGAATAAAGTTTCGATAAGATTGATTAAAACTGAATGGATGATCGATTTGGTTTCGAACAAACGATAAGTTTCGTTAGGATTATTGTTCATTAATAAGTGGTTGAAGTCACCACCAATTTCTTCATAGGTGTGGTTTAATAGATGTATGTATCCATTATGGTCATTTTCGTTGGAGAGATATCGATTGGTAGTATCAAAAGGTGGTGTAGTCAAGTGCTGAAAGATCATTGAGCCATTAGATGCAGGAGTTGAGCAATAGTGACAAGATGATCGAAGAGTATTTTCTAAAGAAGATTCAAGTCGATCAGTCATTTTAAGAGAAGAATCGTGAATTGAAAAATAAATCTTTCGAACACTTACGCAAATTTCGATTACATTTCGGTGAATGCATGTTTTTATTGACAAGAACCATTTTAAGTTCATACCCATCGGTAAGAATTCCATAATGTTGTAATGTGTTCAACTTAATCCAACTTTGCACGCGTTCATTCGTACTGTCAATATCATTCAATAATAAACTATTCGATTCGCGATATGGATCATTGATCGTTGTTGTTGAATACTTGATTGTTCGACTGAAAAGTACTTGGGTTAACATCGATTTTCTCACTAGTGGTACACTGGATGATGCTGTCGAGGAAGATGATGATGAACTTGAACATGACGGATTGGTTACGAGATAAAGTTTACAATCATGAAGAGAAAAATCTCGCCAGGAATTCATTTGATACAGAATCTTCTGTTTGACTTGCGAAATCGTATCGCATGTTAAACAAGTCAAATTGATCGATAAGTCCTGGGAATTCGTTGTATTCAAGTCGATATGCACAATCAATTGAATTGTTTTGAATGACATCGATGAATCGTGTAAGATGGTCCTCATATTCAATGAATAGTAGGACATATTTTGTTCGATTGCGTCGACAGGGCCGCTGTGGAGTTTATTTCTCAGTTGGTAGTATAACTGGCAGAATAGTGTTTGAATTGGATGAATTCGAAGCGCTTCGTAAGATGTTAAGATGCAAATGTTGAAAAATATGAAATCGTTTTGAAACGGAAATAATTTTTTGAGGCTGTACCGCTGAGTTAAGATTAAATCGTTGAGAATCTTCGAGTGATTGGATTGGATAGCGAGATAAACGAGAGAATTCACGAATATATCATTGTGTTCAAGAAGACATTGAAATTGATCGAGAATTTCTGGTTTAACATGAATTTTCATTTGATTCGAGGAGAAATTGCTTGAGTAATAGCAATACTGAAGATAATTCAAATACGAACGAATCGGAAGGATATTTTGTGAAGGGAGATTCACAGGTTGATACAGCTTTTCCTTTTCAATTTCATGACATGTTAAACTATCCGGATAAAAATATCGTTGAAGATACTTTCGATGTGCATAACGAATTTTCAAACAAACAATTAGCAGAACAATCGAAACAATGAGTGAGACTGTAATCAGACACCCACTGATAACTCCTAAAAGATAAACCGGAATGAGTTTACATCGAAAAATTCATCATCTCTTACCAAGAACGATTAGTTTTTTTGGATAAATCATAAACCCGACTTGAGTTTGTATATTATCAATTGAAACAATAATTGGCGGATGTTCCGAACTGTAACATCGATGCTTTGATTTCGAATATTTATCTGGACGAGATGGAGGTGGCTGGCAAACAAGTTTCTCATCTTGAAGTTCAATTATCGAACACAAATCGCACCCGATATTAACTGTAATCTCAGCTTTTGTATGTCCAATCGCCGTGAGGTTTTTCCCGTAAATAGTTAATCGATTTGTAAATATTTGCAGTAATGGTTGAAGTTCAAAGATTTGCGGATCGTTGAAATAGATCAATGATGCTGTTCGGTTGAAATTATCGAGATAAAGTGTGATGTCAATCATGTGTCGATTATGTAAATGAAGTTCTTGCATTGATGGTGTTGAGAATATTAAGTGAGTTTGGTTATGAGATGAAGGTGAAACGAATAATTGGTGTTGAAATTCTAATTGAATGTTTTGTACCGAGTGGAAATTTTCCCCTTGAATTATTATTCGATGGCCACCGCTTTGAAAGCTTTCGTATCGAAAATGTTTATCGAATGAATAAACAATCGGGTTTGGAACAATACGGAACATTGGCTCGTAGAACAATTCAGTTTGATGATCGAAAATAAGCTTGATTGGATGATTAACATTCAACATCGAACGTGGAAATGCTCGAGTTTCACATTCGATTTTGTTGTCGGATATGGATAATAATTGACACGATTGATTACCAACCCAAACGGTTATATGAGAATTTCCAATAGTGAAATTCTTACCAAGGATAGTCAAAACTGTCCCACCATTTTGTATACCAACAAGAGGTTGGATCGATTGGATTGTTGGATTTATGTAAGAAATGACCTGCTGAGAAGTAATCTCTGGTCCGTAAGAGCCAAATTTTAAATGAACAGGTCCTTGAGAAAAGGGTGTGGATTGACTATCACCCGACTTACATACAATTCTAAAGCAGAAAACATTATTTACCGATGGATTACCTTCGTTTCTCTTACTTTTTACTAGAACTTTCTTCTAGAATCATTTGGCATGCAATTCCAGCTATTCTCACTGATACATTAAATAGATCGAAATATTCGCCTTGAATACCAACCAACGTTCCACCCTTCATTGGCAAAAACAATGGCTCAATAGTTTGAATTCTCGGTGTTGAACAATGTTGATTCGACGTGCACTTCATTGATTCATTTTTGTACATGCATTGATTATGACACCAAATACAACCAAACGATGGGTCAAGACGTAAACATGATATGCAATTCGATGCTAGACGTTCACAGCGATACAGAGAAATCTGTGTGTGTGGAATAACAATGGAAATTTCATTGGAAAACCGAATGGCAAGGTCCAGTTTGAACGGTCGGTTGAATGATATTCGATGAGAATCTTCATAATTTGACCAACGAAATGAACATTTTAATAGACAAAGATCGCTTTCATTTTCCGGTCGAGTTAATATCGGATTCGAGTCAGTTAATAAAAATCGTTGCCGACGATCGGATAACAAACAAGATTCAACACTAAACGACTGGTTACATTGTTCAATACGGACAGTAAGTATTTTATCAACAAAATAAGCAACACGATCGATAGGATGAGATAAGTATATCTGCGGGCATTGCTGATGATTTGTCGGAGAAATATCATTTTTTTGTCGAGAAATACATTCGGTATCCTGTCGATTCCATGAGCACAAACTCGGATACGCAGTGCAAGATGAACAGGAGAGAAAATTCGAACAAGTTATAAAAGTTAAATCGTAATATCCAAATGTAAGGCTCGTATTTGTATGGTATATTGATAAAATAACTTTGTAGACAGCTACACGCAACGAAAAGAGCACTCGAATCGATTATGGGAAAATTCAGTCTTTTACCTTGAGTTGAATTCTTCAATAAAGGTGTTTTACATTTAACAAAGTCATTATAGTAGCTAAGTTTTGTATAGTACAAATCATCTCGATTACTGGTAGTGAATTGACACATATATTCATCGATGTTGTTTCGAAATGGAAGATTAGTGATGATTTGCAGCTAAAGATGGCTCGTCGAACATCACAGATTTGGTTATTGTGAAAACAACTTACCTCAGTACCCGTTGTGTCAAGTAAAATTTGGTTTGGAATGACTTGTTCGATATTTGTACACATATTCATATGATTGCCATTCCTCTTTTCATGCGTACATTCAAAAACAGCTGCACACCTAAAATGAGTAACTTGCATGTTAATAATTTTTGACTAAAAAGTATCCGTGGTACCTGTTTTCAGTCGAACACCAATGACAAAGTGTCGCAGCTGAACATTCATTACATGTTGTGTACTGTTCACACGTACTTAAATTCTGTTTGATTATCTAAACAAAAACAGATACATATTCTGCCAGACATCGTCAAGAACGTACTTGATTGTCGGTTAAAATAATCAAATTAGACTTTTGAGGAATCAACTGTAAATCTACAATGATTTTCGATGAAAAATGTTGTTTCACTATTTCGTTTATATTGGAGGCATGAAACTAGAAGAGAACGAGAGTCATGAGTAAATAACATAGTTATCTCACAGAGAATTTACCGTATGTAAAGTTCCATTATCATCGCCAAGAAAAATTATCAACTCATTTTCGATTGATCCAATCTCAAATGATGTAAAATTCACCTTGTCCTTCAACTCAACAATCACTTGCGTCTGGCCTAATGCTCGATGTCCACCGATAGGATATTGAAAAAACCCTTCATTCTCATCCGGACAATAATCATGATTGATTTCGATAATAGTCTAAAACAGTACAAGTTGTTTCTCCTTCTTTTCATATCATTCTTCCTTCACTTACTTTACTCGATACACAATGTGCGTCCGGACTGATAAAACCTAATCCACGATGGCCGTTACCATCCACGAGACAACGTTTTATCGCTTGGAAGAAAGCTTCTTGAATCGAATCGATCGAATAGGCGCACACAGCATGCGATGTACTAGTCGAATTCGCTAACGGTGTATTCCGGAATAGTCCGTACAGAACGTTCTTTTCTTGAGAAAATTTTGCAGTGATGAGATACGGATAATGCTGTCCACAAGTTAAAGGAAGTTCGATATAACTTTTAATGATCGATTGATTGGATTTTTGACAAAAGCGAAGAATTTTCGTTTGAAGTTTGTGTTTATGATGAATATCGGATTGTTGAATTGTTAAAAAATATGAAAATGTCTTGTATTGAAAAGAATATAAATAATGAAGAAAGAAATCTTTAACTAAACGAATATTCAACAAACGTAAGGTCGAGGTGGATTGTTGCAATGCTGATTGACCCGACTGAAACTGAATAATGGAGAGGAAGTCCTTGGGAGCTAATGTTCGACCACTGATTGTCGGTATTTCATAGAACGAATCACATTGTGAATCGTATGTATTCGCAACGTAGAGAATTTTGCTGTTTTCATCGGCTAAACCAACTGATGGGTAGAAAGGCGAAGACGAAACTACTCGTTGAGAAGAGTTTCGAAGAAAGTTAAGATTGATTAATGAACGCAGCTCACACGATCCACCGCGATTCGTTGTTGAACATGATAATATCGAATTATTTGTTAATAAAAGCAATTGATTGAATGTATCATTCGATGAATGATTCAGATATGATGATGTCGAAAAATAATAATGACTTTTTGATGCGATTGTTCGATTCGGTACTAAACATTGATGATCACGTTTTGTTGGTGAGAGGTCAATATCCGCTAGAATTGTTAAATCGCTTGCATTCAACGAATAAAGATGATTTACAGAAGCTAGAACGATTGTGTCTGTTGAGTTATCATAGATAAAACGTTGCAATGGATTGGAGAAATCAAGGCTTATTGAGTGGACAATTGGAATCAAATAAAAAATAAACCGAAATGTATCCATGAGATCTAAAACAACAGAAAGAATGTCGAAAGATGCAATCTATGTGTTGCTTTCTTAGTGAACATGTGTGTGGAATGAATATGGAAGGAGAAAAGATCAAACGTAGTAGAAGATACGAAGGTTATCACATTCTTTTTTACGGTCAAATTAATGAGCGGCAAGCGTGTGCGAAATAAAACAAATAAGAAATCTCAAACTAGGTCATTCGAGAATAAGAATTTCAGATAATACGTTTTGCTTTGTTCAACGGACGAATATCAATAGGTCAAGTTTAATTAGCTGAACGACACAAAAAAAAACAAAAGATCGTTTCCTTCGACAGAAGTCTATAACAATTAACAAATATAGGTGTCTCGACGCCTAATGTCATACGTGTCATCGATCGTTAGTATCATCGAAAGTATGCGCGCACGATCAGTGACCCATTATCATCATTGTCTCGCTCATGATGTTCAACGTTTTCTTTTCTCCTTCTCTTCTACTTACCGATCACATGATCATTTCGTATTCAGACATACACAAAGAGAAAAATAAAAACGGATTTATGATTAAAAGAGCAAACAATGTATTCACTCAATTGGAATCAAGATGTTTTACATATGAAATAGTTGCAGGAAAAGAAAACGTCTAATCCGGAAAACAAGCTTATGTTAGAATATGTCTCGATTACTTGTCGACGCATGAATAGAATTGATCACGGCAACACCTGAGAAAAGGAAATCCGACAATTTGTTGAGAATCAATGAATGAATCGACATTAAATGACGAGGGAATATGTCTAATCGGTTTTTTCCTCTCTCTCTCTCTCCCACTCTATAAGCGCATTGTTATTCTAACTGATGGATATTTGTGAATACAAATACGACTAAGATGACATTGACAAAGGCGTATTTTGAAAATTACAATGAGAATTCTCGTTTTGATTTACCTTTGCTCTTATGTCAAAACGTCAGCTTGTCAAGAGAGAAAAACGGATCGAATGTGAGGAGATGAAGTCATCGTGTCTTATCCTAACGTTTCTGTTTCGTAATAAACCATTACTAATGTGTCTATTATTTCACTAAAATATCGCTCAGTACATAAAAGATGGACATCGATCGACAGAAAAGACGCGCCGCTTCGACACTGCGAAGTCTATTTCAAGTAACAACGATAGAAGAAAAAATACTTACTCGAACTAAATTGATTCCCCTGTGACGAATGACGATGGCATATAAAAGATGAGAAAAGACATCTAATATAACTTAAACAAACGATTATGTCGGATGGAATATGTAAATATAGCTCTCATGTGGTATGTCGAGACATTGAGTCACACTTGAAAGTATCAATTGCTTCGAACAATGATTATTTGTTCACACATGTTTCATCATATTGAAATATGAAATGTGTTATCGTAATGATGATAAAACATGGGTCAACGTCGTTTACCATCATTAATTGAATTCGGAAACACTGACATCCGATTAGGAAGAGAGAGAATAAAACAAGCAGAGAAATCAACTGACCAACTGAATAAAAAAAGAAAAAGATTGTTTCAGCAGACGAACGACGACGACGACGACGACAACTGATACAGACTCTACTAATATAATTGTATTAGTTATTCTAATTTCAACTTGTCTTCTATGCGTGTGTGGATGTCGGTTTCGTTTAAAGGCAATTTGATTTATTCATTATATTGTCCGTCGGTCAACTGAAGAGTATGTGTACGTGTGAACGCGTGCGATGTTGATGATTTCTGTGTACACAGTAAATCAAGAGGATCGACTCAAATCTTACCATTCAATATCTAGAACAAAACAAGAGAGAAAATTAATAAATCAGATGTGAATTCAAGAGTACTATAAATATATTCATAACCATCGATCTTCTTGTCGATGTACCATAAACAGTGTCAGTGCTATCAGAATAACATTCGATTATTTATAAAAAATATGTTAAGCAAAGCGGCGCACTTCTGTCTCGTTTACATAAAAACTGACAGTAACAGTAATAACATTCGTTTATTAGTCTCATTAAAGATGATATAATCATCTATAATTACATGTTGTCTTTTGTTTCTCTTCAGCTATGAAACAAACTTTCAACATTGAATTACCAATGTTCATCATTATTTGAACATACATATATATGCCGATCAAATTCTATTTATTATATAATAAATCTCTGTACTTCGAATGCGTGGGTATGTATATGTATATGTATACACTTAACTAGGCATCAGCGTTTCTCTATTATAAGCACATTAATCTTTCACGCTATATATGCATGGATGTTGACATTAAAAAAATAAATGTGTACTTGAACTGAACACCATCGACATGAACAATCTATGAAGCATAAAATCTTATCAAGGAGAAAAAATGGATCGAAGAAGAACATTCAAGCTACTCTCTCAACGATGAAAGAGATTGGAAGTGACTATCATTAGAGGCGAACAATGATATGACTGGTCACAATCAGATATGGATGATGCAAGAAATCTTCGATCCCTACAGGCGAATTCAGGAAGTGAAAAGACAATGAACAAAGAAATGAAGCATCAGACTAATCAAAGTGAATAGACGAGATACATGTTGCAAATTACTATATGATATTTAATTAAACAGGGAAGCTCGGTCGATAGGAATATATGTATACAAATGATAAGATAGAAAGAGAAACACAATTTGATGTTATCATCAAAACATATCCATTATTATAAATATTTGTGCGATGCATTCAACCATTTCCACTGTCCGAAAGGCAGTTCACGTACAAGTTTATAAATGAGATGATAATTGTAGTGATATTACAGTACGAGCTTCGCTTACCGAGATGACAGGATAGATGATCGCTCATACACACATGACACAATCATCAAGTAGAAATTCATCTGTCTGTACTTTATTCTAATTCATTCATTGACAAGCAAAACTAGAAGCTGTAGAGTTGATCAAATAAATCTACGCTTGATGATTTTTAAACATTACGCAACGTATATACATATAAGACCTATGGCTCATCAAACATATTGCTGGACAGGAAACTTACTTGTTAAAACATGTAAACAATTTTCCTTGAATACGACGACGAAGAAAGACATCGATGTAAACTTGGTTTACCCGTCAAACAAACTGATCGATTATTTTTACAATAAAAAGAGTCAGATCGAATGACATCGGATGAATCTAACAAGCAATTCTCTTCTGAAAACAAAAGAGCATGGGCGGTTACACCGATTGACATTCCCATAAAAGCACACCAGCGGTCAATTAATCATCAAAAAGAAAAAGAACAAAATAGATTGTCGATGATGATTAGATACATCTAGAAGAGAAAAATGACGCTGAAATTGTGCGCGCATACTTGACCAATGTGTTCACACACTCAGTCATACTGTGCTAATGACGATGATGATCGTAAGAATGGAGACAAAAAAATGAAATAATTAGGTCAAATACTTGTCGCCGCAGGAGACTCCGTCCATCTGTGTACGAATTTCTTTTATCGTTTGCAGACAACCTTTTTCTTTATCTTTAACTATACTAAAAATGTGTAAAAGAAGGACAAAAATAATCCAAACGGAAATGCTTGTGTTAGTTGAAGATGCGGAAATGATTTCATTTGTGTATCTTGATCAGGATCAAATACAAAGAAGTAAGTGAATAGAAAAGACTTAACACTAACCGTACAAGGTCTAGTCAACATCACATTCCTGTCTTGAAATAATAATTTTCTTCCTGTTCTCACAAGATACGGAATTCAATACATTCGAATGAGCAAGACTTGTCTTCTCATCTATATTATGTTCAATTTTCGAATATCTTTTTTGGCACGCAAGCTGTTAACGTCTAAACATCGAACATCAAAGGAATGCTCACTTTAGAAAATACGTAACTAACGTGGCACAGTTTCTCTCCGGTGACCAGATGGCATCTTAACATTGTTCATCAATGTGAAGAAACAATTTTATTTGTTTTTGATTGAACCATTTATTGTAGATGTGCGAAACTCATTGTCACCCGACAGGAGCAATATTCATTACCATACGAGAGAGGCGATTAACCGATTGTTATTTCAGTACAACAATAACTATCGATCTACTGAAGAAAGTATTTCTATGTATTCATTGTTTTCTCTTTCTCTCCCTCTCTTAGTATTGCTCACTTGATCTAACGAATGAATTTTCATCAGACAGTGAATTGCTTATTGAACCGTAATCAATAGTGACCTTGTGCCGCTGGTCTGATCATCAGAATACACCACAAGAAAGAAGGCAATTAGTTCAATGATCATATTCGATATCAATTCATGATTATGATGTTTTCCGGCTTGTACGTGTCTCTTTAGATCTAATTAAGCGTATGCACAAATGGTAAAATGACCACAATGGACATCCTTTGTACAAGTCGAGTGTACCGATAAACATTCTTATCTTTATATATATATATCCATATATTTATATAATTATTCGAAATGAAATAACAACAAAGAAAAAGAAGCGATTGATAAAAAGTAAATTCATATATGCAGACGAACAAATGAGTAGAGAGTGAATATCTAGCTGAGATGAGGATTCATTAGTTGGACAAATCTGGCAAATAAGAAAATTCCACATGGACGAATAGATATAGATATGTAAAGCAAAATTGCAGAAGCGAATCAAAACCAAAATAGAATGTAAATGAAACAAGCGAGCAAAGAAAACGAGCAGAAGAAAAACAGAATTCGATTGTCATGGAATCGATCGATAGATGCTTTTTATAAAAGAGAAGCGAAACAAAATTGGAATGAAGATTCGGCTTTTTGTTCTGTCATCATCGTGGCTCATCCGAGAGAAGAAAACAAAAGACTAGAAATTGATAAGCACATAGAATAAAAGTATATGTACAAAATGATAAAGTAAAGTGATGTTCATGTTAAGCATGTAGAGATTATTCCAAAGACCGGTCATGTTTCGTGTTGAACCAAAACAAAACAGGAAAAGAGATATGCACCGGCGTTGACTCAATTGTTCGTTGGTAGATTTGATTCTTTCAGTTTTATAAGCGTTCATTTTCGTAATCTTCTTCTTTGATTCGTCCGGCTTTGATATCATCGATAGCAGCCCATAGGTCAAAGATGAATTCGTCGGTGAAGTTGAATGCACCGATTTCCGACTCGTCGATGGCCATAGCGAAATCGCTTGGATTCTTTTTATTCTGTGCTAAATCCCAGATTTGTCGTGCTAGAATGAAAAAACAAACTCGCAATTCGTTACTCAAATCTCAGACAAAGCTGAAACATTAGTGAATATCATGGGAAAATCAAAAGATTTTAAGAAATATCATCATTGATTTGAGAACTTACCGAGATCAGAATCGTGAATGCCCATAAATGTTTCAAGAAGCGAATTGATACGATCGATAGCTTTGACCATCGTATCATCGACGTCTTCGACACTGACGTTACCATCTGCTTTGAAACGTAAAGTTTTCGTACCACTTTTCACATCACCTGGCCGTCGACCACGTTTAGCCGGTTCAACATCTAAACAAATGTCGATTTAGCGCTAACGAAAGTCTTCGTTACACCTAAGGTTATCCTTCAATTCTATAGACTGATATTTATCACAAAAATGCGCCTTTTGCAGCAGACTAATAAAGATGTACTGTTCAAGGTACAGGCAAGGCTATCTACTACTGTCGATATGAGACACTAACGCATAATTTCACGCTTGTAATTATGTTTTGTCTCGATATTTGACAATAAGAAATGGAGCCTATTTTTCTCCTTTCAAGTTGATATAAATCTAACTGCTGATACGTACGAAATCCGAAAGCATTCGGTTCAACCAATCGCATGGTAAATGTAGCACCAACAGGAAGATCTTTAAGCATTTTTGCCACTTCGAAATGTCGTGTTCCAATTAATGATTTATCATTGATTTTTTCGATATGATCACCGACTTTAACCAATGTTTTCAATCGATCGATAATACTTCCATCTTTGATGCGTTTGATAAAAGCATAGCCTATGGAAGAAATTCGACATTTTTACTCTAAACTTCATTCAAAATATTCCAACAGACCCGCTCCGTTATCAGTGATCGTTAAACCGAGAGCAGGTTCAGATTTCACAATATCAATCTCTTTTGGTTGTCCTTTGACATGGGCAAAGATAAAATCAGTTAAACCAATTTGTCCACCCAATAATTGAGTCATATCAATCTTGTGTGTGTTCAATGTACAAAAAAGAATCTAAAACAAGAAGAAACATTGGTGATTTATGAATGAGTGTGCACAGAAGATGTTTACCGATGAAGCGGGTATTTCAAAACAAGCAGCAATCTTTTGATACAGTTCCCTAACGTTACTGAAGCCGGATATTAGACCAGTCGGACTTCCATGAGCTAATTGACAATGGAAAACAAGTTTGGGTGTTTCACCATTCGATGAGTTTGTTGTTGAACGTTGACTACTCGAAGAATATGAAGGCTGGCGATTCGATGTAACTGAATTCGATGAACCCGCATTGGTTGGCGATGATGATGTTGTTGTTTCTGAGATGGACGGAATGATTCCACTCATCGGATCATCTTTTTTCGCTTGGGATTTTCGTCGTGGAGGAAAGATTGGCATGTTGAACAGTCACACAAGGATTAATTAACGTTCTTTTCTTGTTCTACACGCATACACAAGAATCTAGAAGAGAAGATGAATGATTCGTAAAAATTCGTTGGGCAATAATCGCATTTTATAATATAAAATATTCTTAAATCCATTTCTCGACAACCCTATGTCAATAAAAGTCTCATCTTACTCTCAGTTCTGTAACTGTGATACATGAAGATAAATAAATAAATAGCATTTATTGTTTAGTTCACAAACACTACATTCATTGGTCGATAGACTCCAACAATCAAAAGGTAATGAACAGAAAGGATGAAAACACCTTGACAACGTACGTCGTTATGGCATACAATGATAGATAGGTGAAGTGAGAGCAGAAAGAGAGAAAACACTTACCATTTATTATTCATTATTTTGATGTTTTTCTCTCATCAAAACATTTTGTAATATTTCTATTTAGTTTCATGGAAGTTTGATAACTGTGTGATGGTAAAAGCTATTCGATAAGATTTGCAACTGATTTCATTTTGAATTTATAGCCAATAGCAAAGAATAAACCGAGTGGTGCTGTTACACGTTCGTCAAGTGCTTCACCCAAACGAAAAGTTCGTGAAAAAAGTGCCTCAACAAAACGTACCGCTCGGTCTAAAAGCACCAGTGTGCGTTCAGAGGTCGATGTTTTATCACCGGCAGCTGTGATCAATGCTTATTACACCAGCCACGATGTGACGGATTGCTTAGTGGCACGTGGTTTCCCCTGGGATGGAGCAAAGAAGGGTCGGAAAAAGAAGAAGAAGAAATCGTGAATTTCAGGTGTTCGTTTGTTTTTCTTTTCAAATCAAATTACATTCCGAGTTTTTATCTTGTGAATATGCGCTTGCCTTGTTGCTTATTTATATGAGAGTCTTATATGTTGCTATGCTCGAATTGACGGCTTATTGGAAATCTATTGCTTAAAATCAATAAATCTACTTTTCTCTCTGACACAATTATACAACAAAAAACATTTGTATTTATTTGATCTTTCGACAAATCTATAAAGATTACAATAATATCGCAATAGTAATTATCCGAGTAGACCATATGTGACGATTTTTGTTCAAAATGAAAGTTAAACAAATTATGGCTTAAAATCGTATTGATCGGAAGATGTGGTTATGGTGTAATAAGGTAAGTATAAACGGCATAGTAATGGATAGCAGCACCGAAGAAGACAAAACAGTGCCATATTGCGTGGGCAAATGGTATTATACCATCACATTTAAAAAAGATTATGCCGACAAGGAAGGCTAGACCACCTATGGCTAGTTCAGGCATTCCACTACGTTCGTCCTATGGTTGAATAGTAGATCAAAGAAGGAAATATGAATTGAAATACGTCAAAAAGTGCGTACCATACACAAGGTAAGTACGCCAGGAAGAACGCCGACGACAACATAGAAACAGGTTTCAAGCCATTTGTGCCGTTCGTGATACATAATTTGATAGGCTATACCTAACACAGCCATGGTCCAAACAATGGTAAGAATAAAACCTGTTGATATTGACTGTATAGAACGCAAGAGAAACCTGTAATAATCGGTAAGTATTTTCATAAATCGCTATTCTAAGATCACTTTTACCATGGTGTGTAACTAGCACTGATAAAAATGTAAATAATTGCACGATCAATTCGATGCAATAGATGTCTGATTGTCGAATCACTGGAAAAGAAGAATTTCGAAATAGATAAATCCTTTTACATATATGATCTTCATACCTGTATGTCGGGTGAAAACAGGAACAATGAAAACAGGTAGAAAATGAAAAGAGAAAAATCAAAGCGTTACCATAGATCAAGCTACTCCAGTATTGTGCGGGTGTTTTCGCGCGAGATACCAAACGTCGTGCAGCGATAAACGACGGAATGATAAGACATCCATGAGTTAGACAATTAGCTGCGTGTTCTTTACAGAATGAAGATAAAGATTAAAATAGTACGTGAAGACATTTTACCGTAACTGGTAGGTACATAAGCACGACGGACAGCTCGTTCGTTCATAAATCGACGCCAACCTGTACGAGGCTGTTTTTCGATTGAGTCATGAATCGTATCACCAATGGCAGAACGCTTTCGACTACGCATCGTGATTCTTGCTTAGATAGAAGTGACAATAGAAGACTTTGTTCGATTTACACCTAAATAAAAGGTCAGCAGACTATATCTATTCACATCTATAAAAAAAAGTAAACGGCACATTGTGAATACGATAAAAATGATATTTCCCACATACCGAAATACGATGGTAAGTATATATTATAACACTGTAATACGGGTCTGTCAAATAGTTGATGTATTAGCGAGATGTCGCACAAGTTCATTACTAAGCTAATAAAGTTCCATCTAACTAAAATTTGTTTTCTTTTCCAGTCAATAATACCGACCATTTCCTTATAAAAGTGAAAACTATGCAGTTTTTTGTTTAGCAGATGGGCTATGAAAATAAATTAATTTAATTTTTCAATTCTTTTTATGGAAACTCAAGCTACTTTAATTGAAGTATCTCGAAACTTTCTAATCCTGACTTACACTCACGTACAGCGTAAGCGAGACGATATTTTTATTCTAATAATTATCCAACTAAAAGACTCACTTACTAACGAGTGCGTTCATTTCTTTCAATATGCTCTTCAAGACTCTTTGAAAGTTTTATATTTTCATTTAATTAACGCGTCTATTCAAGTTTCAACCAAAAACTTCAACGTTGCTTGAGTAAGACGCAGTTCTTGCTAAATGGTTTTGTGAGATTTCCAGTGAAACAAAGTCATTTTGTCTTTGCAATGGATGAGTAGATTGAATCACAAATCTTGCGTTTCTTTTCACAATTCTCCTCGCTTTCGAAGATGTTTCTATTTTAAAACACATTTCCCTTTGCTGTCGCATGCAGAAAGGGAAAAAGGTACTTGAACAAACTAGAAGTTAATGATTTGTCATTCATCCAATACTTATCGAACGAATCAGACTGATACTCATCAGACTGTCATTCTCACTTTTACCCAGCAATATTTTTTAATATACCAACTTAATAATAAAATCTTTTCCCTCGATGTTAATCATTCCGCTGAGGAACATTATCTTCACTAAGTACACTTTACCTAGCACTCAAGTGAATTCATTTGCCTGAGCGATGAATTACTCAAGAATTGATCGTTTCCACTAGCTGCTTTGCAGATGTAGTTTTTCTTCTATATATTTGCAATTACTACGAAATGTTTTTTTTCTAATTTTCATTAGTTACACGTAAATACAAACACTGGAATTAATCATTTTGAAAACCATTTGGTAGAGGAAAAAGAAAAACGTGCAGCACGCGATTAGTATCTATTCCAAGTAGTGAATATTGCCACCTGATGAAGTTATTCATGTTTTAGTGTGATGAAATATAAACTATTGAAAAGCGTTTCAAAGGCGAGTAAGTTTTGTTCATAAATGCATAAAAACTATTTGTATAAGTCTTCCGTATGACTTATTAGCTATTCTGTTCTTTTTCCTTCTCTATTTATATAGATTTTTGCCTCTTCTTCACTTATAAAGTGTTCTCCTAGTTGGATATATACTCATCAACATGGAGCAGGAAGTACCTCTCCAAGCCAAGCCGAATGCGATTATTGAGGAGAAGTCGAATCATCAGATTATGTCACAACTATGGTTTCGAGTCTTGTTAGTCGCAACTACAGTCAAATCAATCTTGGGACTCATCATTCTCTTCGGTTTACTTGGTTTATCTATAAGTGTCTTTTTTGTCGGTCTCCGTTTTCGTCAATCTCATCATTGTCCGATAGAATCGAAAATAAGTCTGTTTCTAATCATTGCTGGTAGTGGTTCTATTGAATGGATTGTTCTCAGTATCATTCTCTCGATAATTACAATAGTATTAAAACACATTCGATCATTCATCTTGGTTTGCTTTATTGTCTTACTTGCCCTCTTGATACTTATAACTAATATTATTCTATTTGGCTGGGTCATATGTGGAAGTGTATGGACGTTGAAAGTGTTTGATTCTGTTCAATATACGAATCGATCGATGAATACATTTTGTCAAAAAACGCTGTATCATTTTTCCTTGGCATACTTAGTGATGACTTATGTTCTTACAGCTTTACAATGTTGGTATCGATTGTGCATTTTGATATTTTGTTCAGTACAAGAACAATATGGAATTTGACTCGTGCGTTTTCGTTGTTAAACAATGTAATACCTATTTTAAAAAGATAATCATTTATCACAGAAATAAATTTAGACTTGTTGAATGACTTTGTTAGAGTAAATAGATACTACGCTATCTGTAGAAAATGGTTATGTCATCAACATGTTCTCTCACATGTATAGCATTGAACAGGTTGTATTTCAAAGAACAAGAAAAAAAATATAAAGCTAGGCTATGATGAATGCTTAGGAAACAACAAAATGTTTATAGAAATCTATCGTGTGTTGATCTTAAAGGCCATTGCCATTAGTGGCGGAGTATTTCTGTGTAGTTAAATGAACTCCATTGTTGACTAATGCTGTTCGTTCATATGTGGAGTAGCGGCCGGCAACGAAGGCTGATAAAGGTAAAGCTGTATAAGCGAAGACAACAGCAGCAATCATGGAACGTGATGAATGAGAGTTGAGTAGTCGCCAAGAAGCATAATCGACTAAACCAGCCGTCATTAAGACACAAGCAACATAGATAAATAAAGGTGTAACGAAACGACGATCAGTTGCTTTTGGCACATCGAGAATTGATAAGATGCTACCAATTAAGAGAAACACAAGACCAATAACACAGATAATAAATGTTGCGGGCAAGAATTCAAAATTGCATACACCACTGCTTCGACATTCATGGAAAAGACCCTAGAAGATTCATGTGAATGTCATTCGCTTGTAATCAAAGTTGAGGCATACGTACGTTCCACATGAGTCCATGTTGCCGTTCAGTAACAAGCGTTGTATGATTGAAAACTGGTTCACTGATAGAGGCGACAGTCCAGTAGTTTGTTCCAAGTGCAATTGCCCCTAGGACCACACCTAAGAGAGCAAAAGCTGCAGCTAGAATAGCCAAACGGCGATTGAGTGGTTCGTATGTCATAATCAAGATGATGTGAATGAAAATCTATGAGAATTAGAAGATCTAAGTGAATGGATTTGTTTATATGAAAGAGATAAAAGAAGTCTTCTTCAAAGAGGAAGATATACTTGTCCTTTAATATATTGAATACATTTCATTGTACAGTTGAGAATTTCGAAATGTATTCTCAGGATGAGAATGGAATCATCTCATTGTTTTCGAGGGAAAATTCTCTTCTTCCTCCTTTCTTGAAAAATTTAGTTTTGAGGATAACAAAATTTTGTTCACAATTTTTTTTTCGACAATACAAATTAGTGACACCTACCGAGAAGATGTATGACCTGATTCAAATGTGAGTGTGAGATATCCTCCTTGTAAATATCGATAATAAATACATATCTGCGAAGCTGTCTATTCCCGTTCTTGAATCCTTACTCTACTGCAAACTCGTACAAATGCCAAGTTTACATTTCGACTGAATAATCTTTTGATTAAACGTTTTATTTTAATATTATTGTATGTATATGGGTTTAAGAAGTGAGAAATACATGCACACAACATAAATGTAATGAATATGATTACGTGTAACAAAACACAAGACGCATAGGATTGATTGAATGTGCATAAAAAGCCAAAATGAAAACTAAAGATGATGAATGTGTAGAACGCACTCTCATCTATCTGACAGAAGAATAACGTGTAGAAAGATTATATCTGATATTAAATGAAACGAGCTAGTTGACCATAAAAATCCATCATCAATCGAAGAAGTGTATTCATAGATGGACGATGATCAATGGAAGTTGCCCAACACATACTCATTAATTTGTATCTATAAGCAAAGAGATCGCCATTGAAATACTTGAGTAAGTTTAGTGAATAGAACTTACAGAGTATCTGGACAATTCGTTGGTTGTATAAGACGATGATCATTTTCAAGATGAGTTACCAAATTTTCTGGTCCAATATCTGAATAAGGTTGTAAACAACGACTCATCAATTCCCAAAGTAAAACTCCGTACGACCACTAGCAAATAATAGAACAAACTAGATAACATAAAAGCAAATAATGGATATACATACGACATCAGAAGCAGTTGAAAAGCGTCGATCTTTAATCGATTCAATTGCCATGAATTTCAATGGACGACTTTCATTTGTGATATCTGCAGGAAGACAATCATAATCTTGCGGAAACAAATCTCGTGTAAGAGCGCCATCCGTTAGTTTCACTGTGAGATCATCCATAACTCTAGAAAAAGGACAAATATACTCTCTAAAAATCTATTTTTTATTTCTATATTTGCTTGTAGCATGATAAATATAGTATATACGAAACATTGGTTAGCTAGTTGTATCACTATCTTCTCTGTTTGAAATTACAATGTCATATTTGAGTCAACATCTTTCAAAATTTTCATCAAGTCAAAGCAAAGGAAGAAGAAGAAAAAGCTGCAATAATGCGTAGGGTAACATAAGCAAACAAAAGAGATAAAGGTTTTTAAAAACATCTTGTCGTTATCATTTGTATTCTTGTTAAAACAATGTTTTGCTGTTTTTCACCTTCGAGAAGGTCTCATTGCATCACGTAAGTCTACGAAATTATAAGTACACCCTTTTCTAACATCTTATACCAATAGGAAAAGTGATGAAAAAACACCGTTATTGAAAACTACTCCTAAGACTATAATCAACTACCGAACGCTCTTCGCTATTCCATATGAACATGTTATCCAAGACGACAAAATCCATTTGCAATCATCGGATGCTATCAAAACCGATGCTGCCGATACCTATCTGTTCTTTCATGGCACAATTGGTAATTCACTTTACAGCGCAGGCATGATTCTTATTTGAAAAATTCGTTTTCGATTTTTCTGTTTTTCTTTTAGAACAAATAGCTTGTGTTTCTTTTGCTGATACCGATATAACGACTCCAGTTATATTTGCAACGGCTACTTCAGATACACATTTCCTTTTCGAACGGCTCGTAGAAGTCAAGCATGCTACTGCAATCAACCGACCCAATTCAATACGGATGGAACAGTTACCAACAAGTACACCCAAACCATCCGCTCGACCGTTCGATGAATTTATTGTCAATCCAAACCAACCTACTGGTTCTCTCGACGTTCAAGGTGGCAACATAATCCCCAAAACAGACAACGATTAAATAATACTTACATGCAATTCCGGGCACCAAGATCTTTCATTAACATTTTGCGTCGATGTAAAAAGTACAACCCTTTAGCTATATGTATAGCCATATAGACTAATTCTTGTGTTGATAATAACTGAAACGAGGAAAGTAATGAATTAGATGAAGTTCTTTCGTTTTCTCCGTGTAGATGTTTATACTTGTTCTCGAGCACTGGATCGATTCTGAATAATAAATCGTTTAAGAATTCCTTTGTTACTATACGGATAGATGACCAACGGGTAAGGTGATAATTCGTTTTTATAAACAATTCCTAACGGACTATTGATATTTGAGTGTTTTAATGTTGCGAATAAGCAACAATCGTGTAACATTTGATTTAATTGTGCCGCTGTTCCCGAAGAATTGATTGTTTTACCATAGACGTTCTGTGTCGTGGCAGTTGATAAAGAATCATGCAATGAGCAGCGATACAAACGACCGAATTTACCTAGCCAAATAGCAGACCATTCGTCTAACAGCTCAGCTTTGATAGAAAAACATGTTTGTACTTACCTTCCATGATAATTTCATGTAATGTCAAACGAGTTTGATCAATAGTACAATCAGCAAATGTTGTCGAAGATAGAAGTTCGTCTGCCGTCTTCATAAAGTCATATTGTGTGCATGAATACAAACTAACATCTTCGAAGGTAGTCATATCGAATGTCATTGGCAATGTCGGATGGTCTTGATTATTATTGTCAATCAAACTAGCAACATAAGAATGAAGTCGAAGTGAAAGGTGAAAAGAAAATAAGATTTACTTTTCACATTTTTGCTTGTTTGGCGTCGTACTCATTCGATAGAGACAGAACAAACCCATTGTCGTACAGAAAACAAGTAGAAATACCACAAGAGCAATGAGTAACGAGTATGCCAATATTGTCGCTAACGTTGTTGGCGCAAAATTTCGATGAAGAGCTGAATAAATCATAGCACACCTCCTCGAAAATTATGCAAATGATGTTCACTTACATTCTTTCAGTAAGAAATACTCATCGAGTTCATTCGCATTGTAAAATTGAGTGAGTAACGAACGGTCAAGGATTTGATCGCGACAATGTTTCACAAAAGTGAAATGGACAATCGTTGAAGATGAATTCATCGTTGAATTCGAAAATCGAAATAATACTGAACAATTCACACGACTCGTTGTTAAACACGGAAAAAATATACTAAACGCTAGAATTCCAACGCAACACACAATTAATCGTTCTGTACTCTACTGTAGATTATTTCTTACTTGAAATATCTCGTGGCACAACTCCTCTCGTTGCTATGTTTAATACTGGTCGTAATAACACGTGTTCGTTGCTTGAACTTGTGTTATATTCATAATATATCCTTCGCTACAATAGAACCGAATCAATATGTACATCGAACACATCAGAAGCGAAACATGCAAGAAAAACACTTGAACTCAGAATCATCTGAGAGAGAACGACTTTCTCATTTTGTTACTCACTGTGTGATGGAGAGGAAGTTTATCGACATTCCAAGTGAATTGAACAAAATGAATATCAGCAGGAATGGATATGGGCGATTGAAGCGCTGCCTGTCGCACATGATTTTTATTAATAAAATACAGTTGATAATCATTCAAGTCTACACGGGAGAGACAAAGAAGAAAATAGTGAACGATTTTCATGAGAAATTACCGTATAGTTGCTGAACAGAGCCAGAGTCGAGATATAAATTAAGTTGCGCATGGATGGAATTAATTAATAAGATGATTAAAACGATACTCATTCTGTTCAAAAATAACTCTCATCTAAGCTGTACATATTAATGTACATATGAACAATATTATTCTCTTTCATTGGTGCAATTGAATAGAGGGCAGTGAAAGTCGAGTGAAATTTGATTGGTTACATCTCTATTCAAACAAAGACCATCAGTCCTCTGAAAATCTATTATAAAATGAAAAATAAATAAATAAATTCCCAATATTCTGCGACATGTGTCATATAATAAACATTTTTCGTAATAACACACTTCTTCCCAATTGAATCCTTCAATATATCCAATGGGACACTGTACGAAATGCAGACTTGTTTCAAATTTTAGATAATATGGGTGTGCCGAAATTCTTTCGATGGATATCGGAACGATATCCGAATATCAGTCGAGTGATCAATGATAATCAGGTGTGATTGATTCTTTTCATATGAAATCGAGAAGCTTTTTTTTCTCTACGTACGACAGATACCCGATTTCGACAATTTCTATTTGGATATGAATGGAATTATTCATCAATGTTCGCATATTAACGAAGATAACTGTGAAACGAATGTCAGTGAAGAGGAAATCTTTCGCAATATCTTTCATTATCTCGATGTAAGCGATCGAATATTATCTACAAACATGGAAATGTTTCTTGTTTCTCTTCTTTTCTTTCTAAAAGTTCTTATTTCGCCTGATTAAGCCGAAAAAAGTCTTCTTCATGGCAATTGACGGTGTCGCACCACGCGCAAAGATGAATCAGCAACGTGCTCGACGTTTTCGCGCTGGTCAAGATCGAATGAAAAAGCTGAAAAAAATCGCCGAAGCGACTAATCGGCCATTGGACGAATTATTGTCTCAACATTTTGATACTAATTCCATCACACCCGGTAGAATACGCGTCACGCACAATCGATCATCATTCTCATCGTTTCAGGAACACAATTCATGGCAAATTTACACGAACAACTGAAATATTTCATACATATCAAATTGACTACTGATCCCCTATGGGAAAACGTTGATGTTCACCTGTCTGGTCATTTGGTAAGCATCCTGAATGGAATTTTTTATGCTCGATGAACACTTGGTTCTTTGGATTAGACACCAGGCGAAGGCGAGCATAAAATTATGGAATATATTCGATATACACGTTTGCAGCCAGGATATGATGTGAATACTCGACATTGTTTGTATGGCCTTGATGCTGATTTGGTAAGATAGAATTCTTTTATTTGTAAATTGACTGAATACGATACAACATATTGGTTTTTCTTCAGATCATGCTGGGTTTAGTGACACATGAAATACATTTTGCATTGTTACGTGAAGAAGTGAAATATGGTTCGAAGAAAGTATCGAAAATGTGAGTTTGTGTTATTTATCTCGGATTTTCAGTTGCATCGAAACTTGTTGATTAGTTTAACACCAGAAGAGATCACATGGCATTTATTTCATACGTGTTTACTACGAAATTATATCGATTTGGAATTTCGATCGATCAAAGTAATTGAATGCCTCTTATTTATTGTTTAACTGACTTTTCTCTATCGAAAAGGAGAGTTTGAAGGTTTCATACAACTTAGAATGTATCATTGATGACTGGATTCTCATGGCTTATTTGGTTGGAAATGATTTCATTCCTCATCTGCCACATATTCATATCAAAGAAGAAGCATTGTCCATCCTGTGGGATGCATATAAAGTCGTGTTACCAACACTCGATGGTTTGTTCGATTTCATTTCAAAATATGTTTGATGTTTTACTCTTTTGTCTTAGGTTATATGAACGAATCTGGTGAATTGAATTTAGTCCGTTTTGAGACCTATTTAACTGAATTAGCTAAATACGATCATCAACGGTACGCGGACGAAAACGATACATTCAAAAATTTGAATAAAGTAACTGGACGAAAGAAGCAAATATCAGAAAAGAAAACCGAAGCCGAACCAGAAGATGATATCGATGGTGGCTTCAATTTTGCTGCATTGGATAAATTGAATACTACCGAGCCGCATTCAGCACCAGTAATCGAACGACCATTGTCCAATGATGAGAATGTGAAAGTGGCAGTTGAAGTAAAAGTTTCCGATTCATCGTCAACATCTGACGAGAATGATCTTTCATCAGATCTTGAGAACAGTGAAGATGAAGACGAAAAGAAAAAAATATCGACGGAAATTCCGAAATTAATTAATGAGGATAATACTGACAAACTGCCATTAATTGAAGCCGAATTTCGTCAACATAAAAATCATTATTATCGCGAAAAGATGAAGATAAACTTCACTTCATGCGAAGAGCTTCAATTCTATGTCAATCAATATATCGAAGCGTTACAATGGATTTTGAAATACTATTACCAAGGTTGTCCATCGTGGTCATGGTTTTATCCTCAACATTATGCGCCATACCTATCCGATCTAAGAAACTTCAAAGATCTGAAAATTGACTTGCAAAAAGGAACACCATTCAAACCTTTCGAACAACTACTGAGTATGTCATTCATGTGCGCATATTTTCAAACGATAGACTATTTTTTAAGGTGTACTTCCACCAACGAGCCGTTTTCTTTTACCGGATGTGTTGCAACCGTTGATGATTGATCCGAGTAGTCCATTGTTGAGTTTCTATCCGGAACATTTTGAATTGGATCAAAACGAAAAGAAACAAGATTGGGAAGCCATTGTTCTTCTTCCATTTATCGATGAAAAACTGCTTTTAAATTCAATTACTCAATATTACAATCGGTTGAAACCGAATGAACAGAGTCGAAATCAGCATTTGCCATCATTATGTTATCGAACAACAGCTAGTTTACAACCGATCGGAAACTCTCTACAGGCCAATCCTTGTTTTCCATCTTTACAAGAAACTCGAGCTTCTTGTACGGAAATTCCTGTTGATCAATATCAATCCGATGGTCTCTACTTCAAACATAATCATCAACAAGAAAGCAACATGATTATTTATCCGAAATTTCCCTCTCTGAATGTTTTACCATACAGGTACGATTATAAAACGAATGCTGTCAATATATTTGAAATGCGGTCAAAAGCGGCGACACTTGTGTTAAGTTTAGTACGTCAACCTGATTCCGATTGTATTGCATACAATTCTGATTGGAATCCGAAAGATGAAAAGACTCTGCCGCCATTTCAAATAACAAATATCAAAGGTTTAGTTCATCGTTATCTTGGTAAACGTGTTTTTGTTGACTGGCCACACTTCCAGTATGGTATCGTTTGTGCTGTTAGTGATTTTCGACAAACTTACACATGGACTAATATACCCGGTGGATCGTACTACTATTTCGAGCCTGAGAATACCGAAGAAAATTTCGATTATAAGAATTACACTCAAAAGCCCATCTACGTATCCCAGTGTCCATTCGAAATAGGAAATGATTATAACAAACAAGCTGTTTTTGAATCTTATACGCTAAAAGACAACGAGCGTGATGCGGAATATATAAAAGCAGTTAATATCAACCGAAGATATGAAAATCGACAAGGCATTTCGATTGGGCCAATACCCGTCTTGCTATATGTCTGTCCATTGATTGGTTATCGAATAAGATGTTCGTCAACATCGGATAAATGTAAAACGAATATGTGCTTTTCCAATCAGGCTCTAGCTTATCCGTTACAGACGACTCTTTTTAACTTGCCCAATTACAAATCCGATCTCGATCAAACACCGCGTACTATTAATGATTATTTCAAAGTCAATGATCAGATCTTCGCTCTTAAACAGCCGTTCTATTCCGTGAGTGGTTTCGTCCAGGAAGTAAAACAAGATTCAAATGGAAAATACATCGTTGTCTGCCAAATGGAATCATCGGATTCCAATCATCAACCAGACATGAGTCGCGTGGTACCAAAACTGCTCCCGCATCATTTGAAATATTATACAGCACAAGAGATCGCTGATAAATTAAAGACCATTCCATGTGTTGTATCGAAAATCACAGGAAAAATCAATCTTTTTCCTTCGAGTAGACGACGTCGAAGAGCGATTCCAACAAATATCGGATTATCATGGAAAATGAACAAACCAGTGAAACAGGTTGATGATCTTTCATCATTCTAAGACTATCATCAAAAGTCATATCTTCTCTTTCTAGCTGCACGGCTATACGAAGAAGATTGATGAGATATGGTACTATTCCGAAGCAGCTGTCACCATCATTTCGGAATATATGACGAAGTTTGTACTTTCTCTCTCTCTGGGAGATACACATTTCTGACCTATTTGATTCGTTCTTAGATTTCCACAAATCATCACTGAAATACAGAATAAACCAAAGGATGACAATTATTATGAAGCAAAAATTTGGCCCGATCAAAATGCGTAATTAACATGACTTTTCTGTTCTAATTATCGTACTTAATTTGTACTAATCTTTTCTTTTTCAGCAAAAAAGAAGTTCAACAACTTCGTGCTTGGATTAAATCATTACCGACCTATTCATTATCACTGACGGATGATTCTTGGAGAGCACTCGATAGTCCTGTTATTAATGAATTGGACAAATCAATAAAATCATTTTATACTGTAAAGCACGAACGTGTTTCGTTCCAAATTTCTATCTCTTTGCTTGTAGAAACGTGCGGAAAAGAGTCCAGCGAAGAAGGGCAAAATAGTTCCTTTCGAACCAGAAGCGCTGTTCAAAAGCAGTGAATCACTTGGCATGTGCGATCCGGATACTTGCACTACTTTTGATCTATACGATCGTGTTGTCAATGTTCGGTTTGGTGCAGGCGTACCGGTCGGTACACGGGGTACGATCGTTGGAATTATGTACAATCGAAATCATTTTGACACATACTACGAAGTCTTATTCGATAATCTGCCATTGAACAGTCTCGATGCAATCTTACATGGTAAAAATCAGAGCAAATGTCGAATTAAAGTTCATTCATATCATCTGATGAATTACTCCCATTCACTTCGACTTCGTTCAGTAATGTATCATCCTCAACAATCATTGCCTGCAGGATATAACTGGGAACAGTGTGCAGTCGGGTATGATTCGCCAGGTCAACATCAATCATATTATTCAAATCAAAGAAATACACAAGAGAAAAATACAGGAACTAAACCAAAATCAGCACCACCATTGACCACAGATCAACGTCCACGATTCGCTAAGACAGAACCAGAAGTAAACAAATCGCCATCGGAAACGACAGTGCAAGACGCATCATTACCTCCGCCATCAGCTGAAAATTTACCGAATCAACAGATCGTTTTCACATCGCTTTATGATGGTGGATTGTTACAAGCACCTTATGCAGCCGCACCATCAAATTCAACACCTGAACAAATGCTTTTCCGTGCTATTCAAGATTCAGGGCAAATGCAAACTCCTGATGAACAAGCAGTACATCCGAATACACAACTGTCCTACAATCCAGATCCATCAGGATTTGCTCAAACTCAATACTATCAACCTGCATGTATATGAATCAGTTTTTGTTTTTCATTCAAACAATTTTCTTTTCTAGTGAATATCGACAGTATGAATAGTTTTCTATTTCAACAGCAACCTCCAATCAACCCGTATCAAGAAGTCAATCCATTCATGTTCAACGGTACAGAAGGTTTCTCATTGAATAATTTACCTGTCATGATTGGACAATCTGGCTATCCCATCGATGGTTTCCCACAACAATGGCCAACACAAATACAAAGTCCTTCGAGTCAAACAGGACCACCGCCACCAAGATCACAACTAAGTCATGAGTCTCCTCCGTTCATACCACAACAAACAACTCCACCTACTGTAACAAATAAAGATGCCCTGAAATTTGTTCCAAGTCAAGTTCTACGTAATATTCCTAAAAAATGATCAATAAAACAGCGGTTCTCTATTAATAATTTCATTTAAATAGCATGCTCTTTTTGTTCGTTAGCTTTTCCCTTTTTCAATCTTTGTTCTTGTGTTTTCTTATTCATACTTTTTTCATCATTGTGATCGATATGGTCTTATTTCACAGTCTTTCAATTTTGCTGAAGGATATAGCAGTTGAATACGAGAGATTTGTCTTTGCTTTTGTTTTGGTGCATAAATTCAAAACTAAACATACACATTCAATATTCAGTTGAATTTTGTGATAAAAATATAACACTACAGTCGATCTCATTCTATTTTCTTTTTTCAGATGGCAAGTCAAACAGCACGTATCTCAGCTGATGCACAATTAGATTGTGCACTCGATTTAATGCGACGTTTGCCACCGCAACAAGTCGAAAAGAATCTCTCAGATCTCATCGACCTCGTTCCGGACTTGACAGAAGAGCTATTATCTGCTGTCGATCAACCACTGAAAGTCGTTCGTGATCGAACCGTTGGCAAAGATTATCTTCTATGTGATTACAATCGTGACGGCGATTCGTATCGTTCACCATGGACGAACACTTACACACCACCATTTGATGGTATGTTGAGTTATTGATTAAATTTTAATGAGCTATTCTATACTAACAGTGCTCAATAGTAGTCTTGATGTCTAGAGAACAAGTGTGAATTATTGAAATTTATTTATCTCACATTCTTTTCATCGTCTGGCAACGACGACACTTAGTGTTTCCGTTTGCACTTTGCTTGACATAACAAAGAGCAGTTTTGATGACCTCATTCGAAATTCTCTATTTTAATTATTAATATAAAGATGAATTCATGAAATAATTATATTTGTGTCGTTTGAGTGTCTATTTTCTTTCGAAAGAACTCTCGGTTCCATCACCGTGAAGAATCCAATTTTGTCTTAATATGATTGATTAACTTCTTTGAAGAGCTCATGCGTATAATCATGATAAATCTGATTGCTTTTCTCTAGGAAATCTTCCGTCCGATCGTCTCCGACAATTAGAAATCGATGCTAATCAAGCTTTTGACCAATATCGAGAGATGTACTTTGAAGGTGGAGTATCCTCGGTCTATTTTTGGGACCTAGAAAATGGTTTTGCTGGTGTTATTTTAATCAAGAAAGTTGGCGATGGCAGTAAGAACATCAAAGGCTGTTGGGATTCGATTCACGTTATTGAAGTTCAAGAAAAGCAGGGTGGCCGATCGGTTCACTATAAATTAACATCGACTGTTATGCTTTGGTTGCAAACGCAAAAGACCAAGTCGGGAATGATGAATCTAGGTGGAAGTCTGACTCGTCAACTGGAAGCTGATCACCAAATAACCGACTTTTCTCAGCATATTATCAACATTGGTCGGATGGTTGAAGACATGGAGAACAAGATTCGTCAAACATTGAACTCGATCTACTTCGGTAAAACAAAAGATATTCTGAATAGTTTGCGAAACTCTGAACATGCCCAAAATCGACTTCGTTTACAACAGCTGAGCTTCACAGGTGAATTGCAATCAACGCTAAATCGTAGTCGACCAACAGAATAACTATTTTTATACGTCTGTTTGTTTTCTCATCTTGAAAAGAGAGTAAGAGAATGGATTACACATTCGTCTATAACGTGCTTCTTCTTCTTCTTCTTTACCAAACGCTGCTTTGTGGTGCATTTGTTATATCTCTTGGCTTACGTGTATATTTTATCCTTTAATTCGAATATATTATGTATCCCTATCTGCTTCTCATCATCATCTTCTTCTTTTTTAAAGTATTTACATATTCGAAATAAAATTCTTTTTATAGATTGAATTTGTATAATGTATAAGCGAACGTCTACGCCAGCAAAACCTCATTCATGTAAGGTCGGAATAACCAAATCAGTGGGTATTCAAACACAATGGCAAAACTATGATCAAATAGTCCTTGAAGGAAAAACAATGAATGATACGGAATTTGAAATGTTCATTAAAGGTATGGAAATAGATATCATTACCAGCATATTCATGTTTTTTTTCCTGAATATTTTTCATTAACTGATAAGTGTACTGCCCAGATAATTCAGATAGTCAAAAATAAGTTAATGACACTAATAGACAGCGGAAAGGAAAAAGACAAAACAAAAAAAGTAACCTGCAAAAGGTTCACAGAAGAGACTGGGAACACACACCTCCTCTGCATTCAACTTCCAACAGAGCAATAAATATAATTGGAGGAAATCTCATTCAAAAATGTTCAATTACAGCTAATTGTGCCAATAACAATTTAAAGTATTTAGTAGCAAAATCTATGACCAATCCATCACTAACTAAAAGTACTTACTGCGCGCTTCTGACTCCACGCGAGAGAAAAGTTCGAACTAAACATCCAAACATGTATCATTTTGCCGATGTCGATCTAGTACACTATAATTAGATGTATAATTTGCTGTTTTATCGTCCATCAGAGGGAGCCCTATTGAGACGTCACGAACATCTTGTCAGCTTTGTGGAATGACACGACGTGTATGCATGTTTTCCTTTAAAAAGCAAGAGTATTGGCAATTATTTTGATTACATGCTAGATTCTCATTCGTCAACAAGCATATATGTTCAGTGAAGTTAAGCTCAAAGTAATCAGCTAATAAAAGAAACAATTATTTAGATTCCTCTAAGGCGTTCTCTCTAACATCCGGTCTTATCTCTCGAAACGCGAAACGATAGTACACGAGATGATTAAATACTTTTGTTAAGGACATTTTTTTTTGTATCAGATAACTAATCAACAAAACATCTCTTTATCAGATTAGTCCTACGATACGATCTTAGCCGACCTTTTTATTTCTATCGTAGTCCGTGCCGAAAAGCAGTATTGGAAACTGCTGGCGGAACGCGCACGATTGCAACTCGAAGACCAATTGCACGAGAACCAGCAAGTGAGTTGGAGAGATAAAAAATGAAGTAAAATCAAACTTTATTCCTTTCAAAGCTTCACCAATTACTTGATGAACTGACAAAAGAAAACGAACAACTGCAAATCAAGAGTGAACAATGTGAATACTTAAATAACGTTTTTAATGTATGTTATTGATTAATAACTATATAAATTGACTTGATATCTGTTGGTTTGTTCTAGTCAATTATGTCAGAGAACGATAGTGGAATTGAATTACACACGACCAATGAATCTCAAACGCATAGTTAACAACCGATTCGACTAGCGATTTTTATAGGGCAGATCTTGAATGTCAGATGTTCTCTCTTTTTTATCAGGCATATGTTCTCAATTTTCAATGTCTTTCTTTGAATAAATATATCGATTTTTCTCTTCTCGAGACAAAACACAACAACAAGAGATTGTTGATGGAATCGATTAGTTTTCCAACATATTTGACATTTGTGCATAGTTCTCCTGGCTGTACATATCCAATGGATGACGACTGATAGAAAAACATCGTACACATTTGTAGCCAGCTGTTGCGCGCCGTTGTCATATGCATGAATTGATCTTGTTGACAAAGTGCTAATGAATCAGAATGAGAAAAAAAATTGCCGTTAATTAAATCAATCAAAAACAGGTTTTTCATCGTGAACAATCGTACAGGTGCATTCCAACAGACATGAATACTGAAATCGATTTACATAATTATCTTTTGTAACAAGACCAGCGCTACTCCAAAATAACCGTTCGCGAATAGTGAAATCGAATATTATCATTGTTTTAACAAGGTCATACTTAATTTAACACGCAAAAACACACGGCGGAGGAAAAATAAGACTATTCAGTGTTCTCCTCTCATCAGTTATTTTTGGTCCAAATCAACAAGTTAGGCAGGGTAGGTGTAACCACGCTCGGCGGTCTTGTCAATCGGATTAACTGCTGTACTTTCTCTTCCTTATTTTTATTCACCATTGATGTTTCCACAATGGTCAATTAATTCGTTGTTCAATCGAATCGAACAGGTGCTGATCAGATGAGCAAATCTTGTTTTCGTTCGATGAAGAGAAGATAAAAATTTTACATCTATATAAAAAAAGAGCGATTCTCATCAGTTTTCTTTTCTCCTTTCTTTTCTCATTAAGATGAAAGAGATAAGTAAAAAGGAACGAGAGAAGAAAAAGAAAGAAAACGACACCATTTTCTTAGAATATATTCAAACAAATAAATTACAAACTGTTTAGTTGTGAACTTAAAAACAAGCTCATTTCGAGTAAGTGACACCTAAGTCAGAAATAGACATGCCTAACACGAATTGGATTAGTTTTCGGCTATGAAACCCTTTGAAAAGTGCTTCCCCACTTTCTTTGTGCTTCCACCAGTAGTTTTCACAGTGAAAAACGTTTAATAAAATCATGAATCTACTTCGTTGTTCGACATTATTAGGAAAAATTGTGCTCGCCGCTTTCCACATGAGCTCATTTTTAATATTCTAACGATTCTTCTCTATTAGTAAAGCAATTATTTGGCTTTTTCATCTGGATATAATCATATTTTAGTTTCTCAATCTTTTAATACCCGAAACATTCTTAAACTATGAAAGGAAGTATAGCACTTGATTTCTTTCTCTCATTTGTCACATTTCCAGAGCCTACACACATCGTTGGTAAGTTGTTTTTTCATTTGCAGCATTTTGAGACTTCAGCGTGTAGATGAGTTCCACTTCACGGTACCGTGGTATGTTCATGACACGCGAAATGATCAAAAGAAACAAAGTGAAACCGTATTAAATAATCTCTCATTAGACAAACACACTCGTTTGTAGTTCTAGTCGTGGGCGTGTAGGAAACCAGAACGCACAATTTCATGTAAAAACATGTGCACGATAATCATCTCGACGATCGCGGAGTGCTCCATGATGATATTTAAATAAATACTTGTTTCTACTTTGTAAATATTATTAATCACTGCAACAGGTCTCGGTGAACGCGGCACGCAAAACTTGCGAATGACGTTTTTTTCTTCTCTGCTAATTTCGCACCTTTTTAGCACACTTGTAGTTCGATTAGGAAGATGTTTCTAGTAAGGTCATATCCGCTTTTCTGGTGTATTCGACACGAACCTTGTGTCAATGAGCAAAGCAAATATTGAAATTTTCTCAAGCAAGTAAATTTAATCTATGTAAAACAAATGAGCAAAGCCGTCACATGACATATGGTTACTCTATTCAATTTCTAAACCCTAAGATGACGCTAAAGATCTTTTCTTCTTATCGAATAAGAACGTTGATATTTTACAAAAGTTTTCTTTTTTTCCTCATACCTTCCAACTAAGGTTTTGTCGTTTGAAGCATCCGATTAACAAAAGATGACAAGAGACCGACTCGGAAAGCTTATTTGACTGATGTTATACATAATATAGCTTATCTTGAAGATATGCGTAAGTATGAACGTTAATTATGTATGTTGCCTGGTGTTCTTTGTGTGTTCGATCCTTGTTTCTGATCGGCGTTGAGTGCAAATTTGTATGCGAATGTGAAGTTCGATCACACGCATAGATCATTTCGATTGATCTTCTTCTCTCACTTTTGAACTTCTGTATTAGAGTTTTAATTGAATTCTCTTCTTGTTAAAATGTAGTCCACGACGTCAGTAGGGAACAATGATTGAATATTGGGAAGTATCTCTCGACGCAATTGTTAATTCAATGTTGATATGAGTGTCAAAAAAAATCAGCGAATCACTCTAGTGTGGGTTATTTATGTAATTAGGATGCTTTCATTCTGTTTCTAACTCTGCCTTTCATTGCATTCTCTTTTTTCTTCTCTTCTGTCGCGTCATTGCTGTTAAGTACTCACTCGAAGAGGAAACTAGTGAGAATCAATACTGATGCTAATATTCCTTTCTTACCTCTTATTAATATTGAATAGGAACCTATTGCAATTTCCGTGATTTATGAAACATCGTAATATCTTCAAGTAGTTTCGTCTTTGACAGAATTCGAGATGATAGTTTTATTAGGAATTCTGGAACAAAACTGAGCTATATAATAAATAGACATTGCCCTTATTCGATTATTAATCGAATCGTATCGTATCGTATCGTATCGTTAGGCGATCTATTTCCTGTCATGATCTGCGATGCTGATCAGCGCTTGTATATGTATATATACGTAGGCTTCTCTGTACGTCTCTGCTTATGTACCTATTTATCTCTATTGAGCTTGATGTTGACATAACAAAGCGTTAATTGTCTATACGAACAAAATTGATGACACCCGTAAGTCTATTCATTAACCGATAGAAGATGTTAATATGATCTATGATAACGAGACAAATGGCTACGACATATATATGCCATAAATCATCGGTGAAGATGACATACTTGCACTCCCGTTGTCATACACAACTGCCTGTGATTAAAGATTTTTCTCGTGTGGGATGATGACAGAATCATCGCTCGTATTATCCTGTCCTCTCTTTCTTCCCCATTAACATCGACTCGGTTTTTCCTCTTCTCGTTCTTGATGGAAAGTTAGCATAGTCATTTGGATTTTCAACTCGTATCACACCGAGGAAATTCAATCAGAGCTAGGTAATAGAACTATCAAGAAATAACATCAGACTATTTAACAATTCATTTGCTTACTCACACTATTATGATGGTTTGGGTGGGACAGGAATACATGATTATCTTCGGAGTTTTTTTTTTTAGAATCGCTGATGTCCTGAAATATCCCAGCTGTATTCTTTTCCCCTCCCTCTGCCCTATAAAGGTGATTGCTTTTTTGTTTTCATCACATTGTATAATTTGTTTTCGCAAACAAAATCTATTGAAATATCGATTTTTTTCAGATATGCGTGACAATTCATCAGCATGAGTATACTTATATCTTCGCCGTTCACAAATCTCTCCAATCATACACATTTCAATGACACAACCACATCAGCGATACCTTCATGGTTTCGGCTTGTCACGCTGACATGCATGATACTAATCGACATAAGTGCATTTCTTGGCAATCTGCTTGTGATCTGTGCTTTCTTTCGCACACGACGTCTTCAAACAGTAACGAATTATTTCATTGCGTCCCTAGCGTTTGCTGATGCGCTCGTTGCGATATTCGTTCTTCCTCTCGGTATCTATTGTTATCAACGGGATCGTTCATGGAAGCTCGGCTTGATCTTGTGTGATCTATGGGTCTCGTCCGATGTTCTACTATGTACATCGAGTATATTGAATTTAGCGTGTATATCCGTTGATCGTTACATGGCAATCACAAAGCCATTAACATATACAGCGTATAGATCAAAATTTCTTGCTCGTGTAATGATTCTATTAGTATGGATTGTTTCCATTGTCATTACATGTCCGCCTATATTTGGTTGGCGTGATAAAAATCGGCGTCAAACGGTACGAAACTACTCTTTTTTTAAGCTTTGAGATTTACTAGGATTTATCTTTCAGGTGGAAGAACACCATCGATGTGATTTAAACAGCGCACGGGGTTATGTTGTGTACTCTGCACTCGGTTCCTTCTATATTCCCGGCGTTGTTATGATTTTTGTTTACATACGCATATTTATGGTAGTTTACGGCCGCGAGAATTTAATTAAAAGATTTCATAATAATGCCTCGCCTGTTAATAACAACTCAACATCAAATCTAATAGCAAAGTCGAATGCAAGCAATGCAGTTAACGAGATGCCAGTGATTGCAACTCATAAAAGCAAATTTCAAAGAGTTTCCTCATGCTGCTGCTTTTGTCTCTCGGCAAAGCCACCAGCATTATCTCCGTACATGTGTTCCGAACAAAAACAAAATGGTTATCTGATCTATCGTTTTACTACTAACAACAACAATAATAATAACAACAACAAATACAGCAGCACTACCAATTCACCTGGACAGAGTCCGACGACTCTTTCGAAAACTTCCTTGTTTTGTCGTCCATGTCCAAAAGCAGTCAAAAATATGAGTAATGGCTCGGACGATATTTATCCATACCGTCGAAATTATTCAGCGAACATGTCGAGTGATTATCAAGTTCGAGCTGATGATATTCCATGTTATGAATTAAAACCTCTCGAAGAATCGACTTCACCGTTAATGAAATGTCGATCACGTTCATTCGAACATACATCACTAAGTAAAATACGTGATTTAAATTCAGAATTAAGCCATAGTCGACAATTGAAAGCTGCTGCAGTGGCTGCAGCTGCAGCCATTTCGGGTACAAGCAAAATTTCACAGCCACGTTCGGTAAGTACTCTCATTTGTTTCTCTCGTCGTCGTACTACTCACTCAAATGTCAAACTCCATTTCAAAAAAGAACTCATCGGATAAACACTTGAGATTCAAAGCTGGATATTACCTTTGAGTGTTATTACATGATTTCCTAGATAGACAAAGTCATATCTGGGCAAAAGTACCTAGTCTACGGTTGTGTCAGATTAAGGAAGTACATAGAAGAAAAAAGTTGAATAATTATTCTGATTTTTCTAGCGTAATGCTCGTCATTTTGTATAAAGCAATATGACATATGATTGAACTAAAGTTCAGCAGGAATTCAGCTACTTTCGTTTCTAATGACATAGAAGAAGTACCGGAAACGGAAATAATCGGCAAAATATTTCGCTCATAAAATAGAATCGAAGGCACGTGAAGTATCGAGATGTAACTCCATCCGATGGTTGACCGTCAAGAAACGAGATACCCTATCGAATAAGCAGCCACACGTGTCGTTTGCCATGCAATTCAACCTCAGCGTTTCATATTTGTTTGTTTTTCTTCCATAGAACGACTTCGATCAACAAATTGATTTGTCTAATAATATCTTCTCAGCAATGACGGATAATTCCCGTCCAACAGCACAATCGTTACATGAATTAACACAATTACCATTGATACAAGATCCACTGAAATATCGTAAAACTGCGCGACAACATCTCAATGTTTTTCCAATGCGAGCACGAGCGACAACAAATCCGCCGAAAGTTCAAGAAACGATCACAGCTAGTCCATCATCATCACCTTCACTAAAACAAAAGCAAATCATCGTGGAACCAACACGCATCAATCGCCGAATCAAATCATCTCGATCAATCAATAGTTCACCATCGGCAATCCTAATAGAAAATATGAAACAACAACATCGCATCATGCGAAATTCGTCAATCAAATCAACTCCATCTTCTCGATCGCTCGTATCCATACGACATATCACTCAATCAAGTGAAAACTCCAATGAAACTAATAGTCAAAAGTCAAGAGTGACCTGGTGTTGCTGTTCATGTTTCAACTCATCTACCCAAGCCAATATGCTCTCACAAACGGCGGGCAAACAAGTCTTCGTTTATACACCGAATCATTCATTAACTAATGATGATGACGATGATGATAAACTATCCTCGACAGACAACGCTACTCGTGCACCACTGTATGCATGTGTTCCGTCATCATCAATTACACGTGTGAGTTCCAATGGAACTGTTGCTCCCGGTGACGTTCATCGTCGCGAACGTATTCGTTTTATGAAAGAACAGAAAACAGCGAAAACATTAGCCGTCGTCGTTGGTGGTTTCATTCTTCTCTGGTTGCCATTCTTTATCATGTATGTTATCCCACAAGAGACGCACTCGTTAAATCCCCAAACCGTCACATTGATAACCTGGTTAGGATATTTTAATTCAGTGATCAATCCGTTTATTTATGCGTATTGTTCCAAACAATTTCGCATGGCTTTCTGGAACATCACATTCGGTCTATGTATGAAACGATCATCTGTCCTATCACCATTGACGAATAAAAACAAGCAATTACATCAACGTCGGATGAATGCATAAGACAGATGAAGTTTAGTTTGGATTTGTGTATACTTGTATATAATCATTGATTGAACCTTCTCGTTTTTCGTGTTCAGTTAAAAATGATGACGACTTGTAAATGGTACGAGACTAGAAATCTAATTTATATTCTAACCGAAGACTGATGTCGTTTGACAGTTGACGCCTTGACAAACTATTCCCTAAAGAGTCCCCTCGGGAGAAGTCTGAGATACTTAGATAATTTGTATGTACTGGGGCTTGACGGAACTAATGATCATCTCGAATTTGAATGAAGAGTTCTTGATCTGTGACAAGGCGAAACGGTATAGGTAACCATATTACCTTCGGCTTGGTTCGTCCAGTATACGTGACAAATAATTGACTTTCGTAGAGATGATTATAGACCGTGTATTCGAACTCGAAAGGCTCGGTAATGTGAGCAATGTGAGAGAAACATGATAGTAATTTTCGTGAAAGTGATATATAGAAACTGAACATGGACGAAGATTGACATGTCAATCGCCCTTGGTTTCATCGGTGTAATTATAGTTCGTATGGCAACTATGGACTGGCCCGTTCTTGTTTGACAATCAACTGAGAATAATAACGAGTTGTTTCCACTTCTAGGATCAGGTACGCTCATGACAGCACCAAAAGGTAAAATGTACTCACACGGTGCAAAAAAAGTTCTCAATGAATGGTGACATCTTTCCTCAATGAAGGTACTCATTTCACTTTCGATTGGATCCGACAACACGAACGTTTGTTTTCAACATACATTTTCTCCGCACAGGGTACATTTCGTTTTTTTAATCGAAAAAAGGAAAAGAAGAAGATGAAATGAAGTTAGTTGTATGTGTTATCGTTGATCAAAATCTTGAAGCTATACTTCTCAATGAACAAACGCCTAATCGGGGATATTGGTTTCCATATGATGAAGTAAAAACCGGTGAAACACGTACTCTTGCAGCTCAACGAATAGCGAATAAAGTGATAATTTACAACATATTTCATATACAATTCTTCTTTTCTGATTTTTCAAGATTTGTCCATCTGACATCGAATTGTTATCTGTCTTGAAAGTCCGTTGTGGAGATGTCTTGCCGTATTTACCTAACATCCAAACATTTTATCTGTTCAAAAAATTAGTAAGACGAAAGTCAACGAAGCATAGCCTATATGCCGCATCTTTCTGTATTCGCTTTAGGTGAATGGCAGCAAACCGCAAGGTAATAATTCATTGTGGATGACTGTTGATCAAATGAAACTTGCTGTTCGAAATCTGGAATTACTTGGTCTTGAACCATATACAATCTTTCAAAATATTCTTGAACGACAACGAGCACATGGTTGGAGTAAGACAATTTCGCTTTGTCTTACATTCGTTTCTGTTAATAATCGATTCTAGATGATCTTACAATTGGCAGAGATCTTTTCGAAGAGCCCTTTCTTCAATTTATCGAATGCAAACAGCTTGATTCAAACAATCAACCAGCCGGCACACCTCAAGAACAGTTGATTAGTTCGGCGAAGTTTGATAATAAAAGTAAACTCGGTTTTTCATTGCTATTCACGTAACACCTACGTTTCTTTAGTTCAAGAGCGTGTCTTTAAAGAATTCTACTCCTATACATATCCAAGCGAATACATGAGTTTGCGAACTTTCTCCGAAATAATGGACAACAAGCTGAGCACCATTGAAAAAACGAAAATGCAAGCCTACTTTCGTGCTTTCGATACTCAACAGAACAGTTACCTAACATATACCGAGTATTTATTAGGTTCGTTTTCTTCATTCATCTAACATCGAAGAGAGACTATCTTCTATCGATGTAGGGTTAGCTGCAATGGATCCAAATACTTCGCATGGAGGTACTCCGGCTGAACTACGTTGTCGATATATCTTTCGTTTTTATAATATCAAAAATAATGGACATTTGTCCATCGAAGAATTTCGGTAAGACATGTCTTTCATGTAACTTCGCGTCTGCACGACATTCTTTTCATTGGTTTCAAGTACAAAACATTTGAATAAATTACACTTTGTCAGGAAATCGATGTCGAGTATTGTTCAGCCGTAAGGAGAGGAAAAAGTCACGTTTCAATAAGAGTCAAGTCGAGCGATGAGATTTAATGCGATAGTATTGAATATGAAATAACGATAAGGACAAACGGTAGACAGTAAAGATCATTTCATCGACGGTCGAAATCTGATCGAAGATTACAAAAGATGTCTGATTGATATAAAACCATAGTGAATTGTATCATTTCTTGTTCATAGAGATCTTCACGGCAATGTGCAAAATTTGAAAGCAGGAAAACCAAATGGGGATCTTCCAGCTTACAGTGAAGTTCTACCAGTATTCAAGTGTGTATTTGTTTGAACGCAAACCTGATGTTTTTGTTCTCCACCGTTCAATTTCAGTTCGTTCAATTTGCAAGAAAATAGTTATTTAACGCTAAATGATTTTCTAAGTTCTGTCGGCCAACTGAAATATCGTGGCACATCTGTTCTATTCCGTCTTCCTACTTATACGAAAGATTTATTACGTGTGAATAAGTTCGTTGATTTTTTCCTCCTAATCGAGATCATATTCCAAACTTTAGAAGATTCACAAACATAAAAGGCGATAATCAATACGACGAAAGTAAATCCTATGCAAATTTGCAAACTGCCATTGTCTCTCTCTTTCTTTGCAGACCACAACGAGATTAATTATGAAATAGCTGATCATTGTGTAACCTTGAAAAAGTCGGGTTTACTTCATCGAGTGGAGTCCTTACGTACAATGAGTTATAACGCTCAATTCAGCACGACAACCGAAGAAGCAATGAAAAATTTGCCAAGATCATCGTCGGAAGAAATATTCGATTGCGTAAATTCATACACACTATGTTGTCCTTTTAAATAGGATCTGTCTTCGTTTAGAGAACAATCGCGACTGATATTCAAGAAATGTTGCGTACATTTGAGAAGGCGGACCTGACTAAGGAGGCGTTTACATGGCCATCGAATGCAATCAGCACTTTAGGTCGATCGATACTAACTCTCTGTCGCGAAGTTCGCGAAATCATCAGATGTGAAGCACGTTGTTTGAAATTGTCATCTCCATGTTATATCTTGGGTGATATACATGGCAACTATCAAGATTTACTCTGCTTTGAGAAGTGTTTATGGCGTGCGACACCGTTGCTTTCACCAGCATCGTTTCTTTTCCTTGGTGATTACGTTGATCGGGGAATTTACGGATTAGAAGTAAGATCTCAATAACATGAACAAGAATGATGAACTCTTCATTCAGGTGATTATGTATTTATTGGCAACAAAATTGCAATGTCCAAAGAAAGTCTATCTTCTTCGAGGAAATCACGAAATCAGAAAAATCCAACAAGTCTTTAGTTTTTATAAGTAAGTGACTACGAGTAATTAGATTGAATTTAGCGTTTGCCAGCATGTTGAAATAGGAGTTCCTTTCCGAATTCGCTCAGTAGCTAGATGCATGATTCTTAAATCTATGTATTTTTCCAGAAATCCAATAGAATTTCCTCACAAGTGATGAAAGTGAGTATTTGCTTGTAACTGACTTGTTCTTTCTTGTTTTTCAACGTGTCACTGTTGTATTAATCATATAATCTTGTTGTTTTCCGTCTGAAACTCTGACTATAGCGTACAAATCGATGTACTAACTCATCTTTTCATATATCCATAGAGAATGCTTGACGAAGTTTGGCGAAATTCTTGGTAAAGAAGTATGGGAAGGAATCAATTCGGTTTTTGACGTTCTCCCATTTGCCGCTGTTATTGACGATAAAGTTCGTTCGAAATCCGTGTTCAAAACGTTTTCTCATGAAATCTTTACATAGATTCTATGTTTACATGGCGGAATTCCTAGTCCGAATTCATGTCCAGATGATTTTGTATCTATGGTTAATGATATACCAGTACCACTGAGTGAACCGGAAATCGGTTCACAATTAGCATGGGAAATTATGTGGAATGATCCATTTTCCCTGGACACGAACACAGCGACTCAGTTACCAATGAATATGGTCAATGGATTTTTCAATAATACCAGAAGAAGTACAGGAAAATATTTCACAAACGAAGCATTGGTGACGTTCTTAGAGAAAAATAACTTTACTCATGTAATTCGCGCACACGAAGTTCAACAAGTTGGTTTTAAGGTGATGTGCGAACATAAAACGATGAATTTCAAATAAATCAACAGTTTTCATTTCAGGTGCAATTGGGCGGCCGTCTTCTAACAGTATTTTCCTCGTCACACTACTGCGGTGGTACAAATGAAGCAGCAACTGTGTTTGTTGACTCATTTAAACTACGACTGATTCGACTTGATGCACGATAAACACAAACAATATGTATGTAGGAATGTGGTTAGTCATCAACATGAGTCAGTCTGATAAAATATCCGTTGCGAACAAGAAAGGACCTCGTTTTTCACATTCATATGTTTTCAATTTGATTTTAAACCAATTTTGTATGTCTATTTTTCATTTTGTGATTCAAAATGCTTCCATACCTGTGTGAAATTGTTTATACATAATACGTAATCTGGAACAAGATGATGCCATTCAATGCTCTTGCGTCTGGGCGTGTGATTTGATACTTAACTGAGTTTGTTTAACATCGAGAAATCCGTGAGAATCAACAGTATTTAGAAAATATATGAATCACGTATTTTCTTGAAAACTTCAAAGATGATTTCACGTCAGTTATACGTTTTAAAACACTATAGTCAATCTTTTTAATGTGAAAACTCATGAGCAGTTAGAAAGCGTTCACCGTTTCTTTTCTGTTCCGTATGAGTCGATGAATATTTATGCAGAATTCTCTCACTGCAGCTTTGAATTGCTTTTAAAAACAATATTTGCTTTACAGAGTGCCATAAATTCCTTCTTCCAATGATAGAATGGGCATCATTGATTGTATTTTAACAAAGGACAAACATAACAAACTATGAGTGCACGTAGTATGAGAAACACTCCTCAGAATAGAATCATTTTTTGAAGCAAGTAAACCATTCCAGAAGGCGTTTTTGCGTTTGTCAAATTTCGGGTTAGAGAAATGATTTCCACTCATAGTTCTCGCTAATTTCATAGTTGAATTTTGCAAAAGAGAAAAAGATTTATTTCGAAGTCCAATGAACAAAAATCAGAATGAAAAAGCAAACATCACATGTCATTTACCACAGCTGGAGTCCGATTCTTATTTCAAAATAACCCATAATGCATGAATAAGTCCTAAAACATACCAATATACAGATGAAAATACACGGAAAGTCAAGATGTACCTGGTAAGAAGAATAAAATCGTCAAGATTAAATTGAGAATTGTCACATTGTTGCATGAATTCTCATGTAGATATACAGCTAATGGCGGAACGAACAGGGCGATGATGACCAATATTAACGTTGAGACCATTTTTGAAAGAGTTGCTAATAAATCTAAAACAATGAGAGAAATGTTAAACTCTCTGCAAATATGTCAAGTTTGTATTGAAACGAAACACATTATGAAAATTGTAATCACCGGAAAAAGCTTCTTCTCGTTTCCTAACGACCAATTACTATGTGCGCATTTTGATAAAAATTTATTCATTGTAAGACGCAAAAATGTCAACTTTTATAGTGCATTTCACTTTTAATGATGCTGTAGAAATAATATTCTCTCTCTTTCTCTCTCTCTCTCTTTTCTTTTCTCTCGCAGTACCTTTTCTGTTGTCACGTATATGAAATTATTTTAGAATATTACTATTACTATTTGGTAACTGCAGTATTAGTATATTTGCATAAGTTATTACTTCGTCGGGGAAAAAGGAGGAAATTTGAATTTGTTTACTCAAATTAGAAGAAAAAGGTTTTTTTTAGATTCTGCAGATCTACTTATTCATTTCAAACGTAAATCGTAGTCAAACATCCGACAGAATTTGTCATTAAAACGCACTAGAATAAAAAAATTCAATATTTTCTATGCTACCGACAATCGCCGATTCTAAATCATCCGTATATCTTTTCTTAAGTAAAGATTTAGATAAATATTCGAATATTTAATTACAAATTCTCTTCAGCTTGACATGGTAATCATTCATTCTTAAAATTCTCGAACATTTTATGGCACAGTGTGATGCAAACACGGCAAGAGTTGTGAATTTTGATAGTATTGGTAAAGATATTATGCGTGTCTTACTCTCTTTCAAATATATCCTCAGAGAAAGCACAAAATTTGAAAACTTTAAATTTTCCTATTTTATAACTATCTTATAATGCATGCAACGAATCAATAAATAATAAGTGGGATAGAGCATCGGCGGGCCGGCAAAAAAATTTCAGGGAGGGGAATCAAAATTTTTCAGTGATTATTACCATAGATATTCGTTCTTTTCTGAGGCGAAAAAATTTATTGCCCTTTCAAAAATTTTTCAGGGGGAGGGGGGGGGACAATTGCCCTCCCCCCCCCGCCCCCCCCCCCCCCCCCCCGGCCTCGCGCGGCGCAGCAGGGTAGCGTGTGTTTTTGTTTAT